TGTTCTTTTTAGTTTAATTTAATAAATTAATTTTACACTATAAGTAATTATATTTGATAATCAATCATTTTTTTTTCTTTCTTTATTTTATTTTAGGAATAATTGGAAATTTTTTTTTTTTTTTTTTCAAATATTAAGTAATAAAAATGTAATTTTTTATTAATTTTTCAATTATATAATTATGTAATAAAATAAAATTTTTATAATATTAAAAAATAATAATTACTTTCATTCCATTTTTTTTTTTTTTTTTTTTTTTAAATTTTACAAATTATAAAATGTAGAAAAATTTTGTTAGAGTGAAAGTTAACTTCGTTGAGTTGCTAAGCAGTTGTTTGATAAGAATGAAATACAGGAAAGAGTTCGAAAGATAAGATAATGAATGAATGAACGAAGAAAGAAAGGAAGGAAGGAAGCTAATGATGATGTGATCAGTTTGGTGTAAGGATAAGAATGATAAACTATCAGTTAAAATATACCAACAAACTTTTCCAATCTTCTTAACCTCATTTATCACTGTTAAATTTTCTACTTCTTCTTCCTATATAATCATTCTTTAACTAGTTAGACAAATAATTTTACCACAAATTTTGATAAATAATTTAATTTCTACATTTATCATTGATAGTAATATTTTTTTTTTTTAAAAAAAAAAAGCAAATTAAAATACAGCCAAAAAAAATATATAATTTACAATTTATACTTAATATTAAGACTATCAAAATTTAATATATAATTCAATTTAATTCAATTTCTACATTTATCATTAATAGTAATATTTAAAAAAAAAAAAAGACAAATTAAAATACAGCTAAAAAAAATATATAATTTACAATTTATACTTAATATTAAGACTATCAAAATTTAATATATAATTCAATGTAATTCAATTTCTACATTTATCATTAATAGTAATATTTAAAAAAAAAAAAAAAAGCAAATTAAAATACAGTCAAAAATATAACTGTTGATAAATAAATCAATTTAATTAAATTTTTACATTTATCATTGATAGTAATATTAAAAAAAAAAAAAAAAATAGAATTAAAAAGGAAAAAAAAAAATGTAAATATAATCTATAATTTATACTGTTATTATAACTATCACAATCAATCATAATTATTTTTATTTATTATCATTTATTATATATCATAATTATTTTTATTTATTATCATTTATTATATATCATAACTACTTTTAATTATTATCATTTATTATATATCATAATTTTTTTATTTATTATCATTTATTATAATTATTTTTTATCTCTAATACAATTATTGGTAAAGTTATAACTATAATTTATAATTTATACTTAATTTACAAATATTTTAATCAATCATATACAGATATAACTCATTCTTAATTATTATCTTTATCATTTGTTATCTCATACTAAAATTATGTTAGTCATAAATGAAAGTATAAATTATCTTTACTACAATTATTGATTTGCTATAATGTAAGTATAAATTTTAAATTGTAAGTATATTTATTATAAAAATTTTAAATATATTTTAATAATTTCAAAATATATTTTTTCTTATAAAATAATTCATATTAATTACATTTAATTTACAGTATATATACATAAATTTTGTGCTTTTTTTTTTAGTTTATATACATTATATTCAACCGATTTTAAAATATAATTATAATTAATTAAAATTATTTGTGATGCATTTTTTATCATTTTTAAATTTTATATTATTATTTGAATTTTGAAATGCACAATTGAAACTTTAGTGTAATAACATTATTTTTCTGTTTATTTATTATTTTTATTTAACATATCAAATTTTATATGAAAATTTCAAATGCACAATTATTAAGAAATATTAATTAAATTAAAATTTAAAAAAAGCTATGCGGAATTTTATGCTATATATTACTTTTATTATACTTAAATAAGCATATCATAATTATCATTTATAAATTTGAGAAAAAAAAAAGATTAAAGCAAAAATTGTTATCCATAAATTTGACTGCCATTTATTTATAAATTATAAATTTGACATGAAAAAAAAACTGCAATTTCGTGCGCAAATGTATAATTATGATTTTATGATTTTAAAAATACTATTTTTTATTTCATCGTTTATTTTTGAAATAAAAATTTTCAAATAGTATTATTTCAAAATTTCAAAAATTTAAAACACTTTTCCATAACTAATTTGTATTAAAATTATTGTAAAAATAATTATTATTTAAAATACAAATCAAAAAAAAAAAAAACAACGCATTTTATATCTGTTCGAACTTTTAATTATTTATAATTTATAATTACTTAGCATTTACTTGATTTCATACTTATCATATTAAAATAGCAATTATACCTAATTATTTTTTTAAAAAATAAAAAAATTAAAAAATTATTTTTGTAAAGAATATTACAAATTTTTTCACAAAACTTCATACCGAAATTTTCATTAGATAAATTTCATATTTTAAAATGAAACCTTTTTTATTCTTTTTTTTTTTTTTTAAAAAAAAAAAAAGGAAAAACGAAAAGAAATTAAACTGAAATTAATCGATCAATTTTAATATTGCAATTATTTTAATTTTTTAATTGCAAAAAATATTTATAAAAATAATAAATGATCATAGCATTTTGTTCCTACAAAATGAATGTTTAAATTTTTTTTTTTTAGAAAAAAGTATTAATCGCTTGTAAATTAAAAACAAAAATTAACAATGAAAATAGAAATTAATTAAAAAAAATTTGTGTTAATGAAAAATTTATTGAAATAATTTTAGTTTAAAAAAAAAAAATCCTGATAAAATATATATAAATGCAATGTAATTTTTGCAAACGGATAATATTAACTTAATCCAGAATTATCATATCGTAGGATTTACCGGATTAATTGATTTTTGCATAAGAAACATAACGGTTACCTGCTGCTATTACAGAAAAAGAAAAAATAATCTAAAATGTAAAATAAACATTCCGGAAAAAATTTTGTTTCTTTAATATATTAGAAGATTATGTAAATGTTATTTGAGCTAAGCATTCCGGATAATTATACCTGAGACATTCCTGATCGTTTGCAATTGGTATTCATTTAAATTATTTATCCTCAATGATACTTGACATATACCGGATTATTCACTCATGATATACAAGATATTTTGAATTATTCATTCGTGATATGTGAAAAATTCCGGATTAAATGCTTTTGATAATTGATAAAAAAACCGAACTGAAAGGAAAGTGATAAGAATAAGACATTGTTATCTCCCAACAAAAACCAATTGCACTACTGCACGATATAAAAATAATCAAAATATGAATAAGAAAAGATTTAGGGATAGTCAACAAGTAAAAATTATCTGCGTATAAGCGAATTCGAGTATAGATTCTAAAAATGATGCGAGCCTAATTTTTTTTCATGCTCATGATATACAAGATATTTTGAATTATTCATTCGTGATATGTGAAAAATTCCGGATTAAATGCTTTTGATAATTGATATGTTCCGGGTTAGTTACTCCTGAAGACTTCCAGACTATTTGCTCATGATATTTCAAATACTCCGCTTTATCTATTCATGATACTTGACATTTTCTGGGTTATTTATTTTTGATATTTGACATATTCGGAATTATGTATTCCGGATTATTTATTATTGGTATCTTAGACATCCTGATTATACATTCTTAATATCTGACGTGTTTCAGACTACATCATTGGTATTTTAAATATTCCGGATTGTTTGCTTTAGATATTTGAAATATTCCGGATTATTTACTTCTAACATATTTCAGGTTATGCATTCCGGATTATTTATCCTCGATACTTTAAATATTTCGGATTACCTACTCCTGATACCTGGTATTTTCCGCATCATCTATTTTTAGCATTTGATGTATTCCGAATCATTTAGCTCTGATATTTGAAACATTCTTTGTTATTCACTTTTGATATTTGATACATTCCGGATTATTCCCGATATTTCAAATAATCCGATTTATTTGCTACCAAATTTGCTGATTCAGATTTTTAATTCGATTTATGCATCCCAAATTGTTAATCTTTGCTATTTTAGACATTCCGGATTATCCACACTTGATATTTGGCACTTTCCGGATTATCTATTTTTGACATTCGATACACACCGGATCATTCACTTTTGATATTTGACATATTCCGCAATTACTTATTCGCAATATTTCAAATAATCCGAATTATTTGCTACTGATAATTGCGTTAATTCCGGATTGCTCATTTTTCATACCATACCGGATCCTGAATCTACACCATCTCATAGCAATGCTATCAAATGCTAAAATAAATTTTACATTAAAAAAAAAGAGAAATTTACATAATTTAAATTTCCTGAATCTCTTCAATACATTATCCATAATTGGAATGTCTTTCGCACCGTTTATGGTAGTCAAATTTTTTTTTCTTTTTTTAGGTACAATTAATTGTTGCAACCATTCATTCATTCATTGTTTGCTCTCATTGTTCGGTGCTACTCTTTTGCTCGTCTCTTTGTCGTTTACGTGTGTGCTACGTACGTGTGAAAAGTCAAGTGCAAAACACGTAAGGTATAATAATAATACGTGTACTTACACTTCATTTGTGTACAAGTGATAGAGAATTTCTTTGTTTATCTTCTTCTATTGTGTTAATTACACGTGGCAATATGTTTCTGTTCACTGTTACGTTCACGTATCAAAGTATGTGATGACGTACGTGTACACTGTCTAGAAAAAAGAAAAAAAAAAAGCAAATTCCTTATCAAATTAATCATAATATCTTGAAAAATCTTTTAAAGGATAATTTTTCTTTTTTGCAAATTTAGATGTTATTCCTAATTATCGATCATATAAATTAATCATATCCTCATCAAATTAATTATACTATCTTAAAAAATCTTTTGAAAAAAAAAAAACTTTTCTTTTTTTTTTACAAATTTAGATTTATATTTGAAATTACAGCAGTTTCGAATCCAACATAAGTCAGGACGATTTGACTTGTCAAACGAAAGAATATGTCGAACGGCGTCCCAGTACCGATAGTCTGTATGACTAATGAAGAAAAGGTCTTTTTTACAATTTTTTTTTTTTTTTTTTTTTCAAGTTACTTCTTTCAAAATGCTTTCCAATTTAAATTTTATACATAATTTAAATACGATGGATTTTTTTTTTTTGGTATTGAATTTACTTATTGCAAATTTTGAGCAATCAATTTTGTAACTAATAGCTCCACAGATAATGTCAATGCCATAGATAATTCTCTATCTTTTTTCTGTTTCTATTATGTTCACTTTAATGAAAATGAAATTATTTAGCTAATGGAAAGTATTGTTTGATAGAATAATTTGATAATTTCGTAGCATTTCAAAAATTTAATTAGTTTTGACAATGTTAACATATGTGAGATTAATTACCTGAAACTCAAAGTGGAGGAGAAAATTGGAAACTTTAGATTTTGCATAGTGATAGATTTAAGTTTTTATAATTTCTACTAACAATATGAAAGGAAGTTGTTTACATAAACATAATGAAACATTTATTGTTAAATGTTTGTTCATTGCTATACATATTCGACTGTTACTCACAAAAAGTTCTTATTACTTTCAAATTAAGCAGCAAGAAGATTTTCATGCTAACAGAGAGCATTTGCTAGCTTTTTGTTTGTAAATATGTTCGCTGAAGAGTTTCTTGGACAAATTCTTTTGTAATTCTTTCATGATTATCAATTTGTTTGTTGTTTGTATGCGATCACTAATTCCTTATAAGCTAATAATTATCCTAAAAGAGAGAAGGGCAAAGTATATTTTGGTATTTTTTTTTTTTTGAATTTTTACACATTTTATTATTTAAATATGTGTTTTTTTTTCTTTACAGATGGACGGTAAGAAGGAAAATATCGACACAAATGGCAACATTCAAAATGCTAAAAATATCAGCAAAGTAATAATATTCGCTTATTTTACGCTATCATTTTGTGGTGAATGAATTGACACTGATTACATTGATGTCTTCGAATATATCTCTTCGTGCTACGATAATTTCGTGCCAGAAAAATTGTAATTTAATTCAAGTAAATCCTCTGTACCAGTAATCTCATGATATCTTTTACAGTTTGAATTCTTCTTTAATCTTCTTATGTTTCCCAATAATAATTTTTCAAATTTATGATATTAGTCGATTTCATTAGAATTTAGATTATTGGTAAATTGTTAAGCGTTAAAAATATAATGCTTTAATTTTCAAGAGACAAAACAATTATGTGAAAGGACGTTCCCGCATTACAGATGAGGAACGTCGTATTATGTGGGAAATGGAACAAGCGAAAAAGCCCATCCTTGAAAAGGGTAGATTAATAATTATTGCTTATAGCAGGTTTTATCAGTCAAGAATCTCGTTTATGTTGATTTTTTTCTGAAAAGTAAAAGCTAGATTTATTGATCTTCGGTTGTAAACTATCATTGATGATAGCAATTTTATCAATATTACAAACTTACTGAAGTATAATTTCTGAATCTATGTTGATATTCTATTTTGTTCGAGTAGAAATTGATCAAAAAAAAAAGATGTACTTAATAGGAGTAAAGGGTAAGGTCAAATGGTACAGTGTCCGTTATCATTACGGGTTTATCGCACGTGATGACAACAAAGGAAACGATGTTTTCGTACATCAGGTATGTTTATAAGCTAATTAGAAAATTATCAATTTTTCACAACATTGCTCAGTTAAAGCTTTGGATATGTGATACTGTTTTTTTTTTTTTTTTTTTGTTTATTTATCATGAATGATGATAATTTCATGAGTATTAAATATTCTGAAAGTAACTGAGGTATAAATTTCCATCAAGTAATATAGTTAATATAATTTAGTGTTTCAGACAGCTATTGCAAAATCCCGAATCATAAAGTATTATTTGCGCACTCTCGGAGATGGTGAAGAAGTTCTTTTTGATATTGTTCAAGGAAAGCAGGGACCCGAAGCTGCCAATGTTACCGGACCAAATAGTACTGAGGTATAACTTGGAAATTTTTAGGTTTTCAATGTATGGACCATATTAATTGCACATTGCTATGAATCTACTAATCTTCTTTACTTAAGCTATAGCGTATTAAAGTTGCCTCATCAAAATTTATGATATTAAACAACGCTTTTTTTTTTTCTTTTTTTTCATGTTCTTTGTGACAGATAGTATAATCTGGCTTACGCTTCAGGTTCGTGGTAGCAAATACCACAACTTTCAGTTTTACACTTTCCGTCGCCGCATGGCATATAATCGTGAACGAGTAGCTCATAAGGAAAGTGAGAAATGTATGTTACATTTTATGTAATATACTTTTTTATGAACTTACTTCGATAGGCGACGTTGGACTAGCAAAACTAGTTATTATTTTAATATACTTAGTTGTCATTTAGTGGCAAAAGTTTTCAGCTGTTCTATTACTGTGAGATATGTTGGTATGGAGAGAAAAGTGGTGATATTAGACTTTTGATTGATGTTTTTTATTCATTTAGATCGACGTAATAATCAGGGCCGTAAACCAAATGAGAAATTAGAAACTGACAATGCAGACATAAAAAAGCCAAATACTGAACATCGGCGACGTTTTCGTCATTTTAGAGGTTATTCATTTCGAGCATTTTTTTTTTTTTTTTTTTTTTTTGGAACTTTATAATTAACATTGAATTGATTTTTTTTGATCTTGTAAGCTACTTGTAATCCATGATTTTTTTTTTTTTTTAATTCTCTAGACAACCTGAAAATGTTCATAATCCAATTATTATTTTTTTTTTCTTTTGCAGCTCAACGTCAACCAACTGCTGCAAAGAAATTGGCTAATGGTGGTGAAGATGGTGGTGGTGATTCGAAGAAGGAAAACGATCAGAATGATGTAGGTAATAATACTTGTGGTGAAGGTCGTGGAGATGGTCGTCGGTTAACACGCAAAGGTAAGGTTTTTTAATTATAGATTTTGAAGTAAACTATCTCTTATTTCTTCTTACTTTTCTTTCTATTCCTATGGTTTTGCTTTTTTTTTTTTTTTTTTATTCTTGAATTCTTATAATGGATTGCAGTGAATAGTAGAATATTTCATATGAGATTTGGTTTTAGGTAAAAGTCAGATAAATGAAGCTTTAGATGGTACAACACGTCGTCGCTCAACGGCTACCACGGATGCAAGTCAATCTGAGGCAGAAGTTATGGAAAAAGAAATGAAGAATACCTCTAATGCTGTTGTAGGAGGTCAGTAAGTAGCAAAGAATAAGAAATTATTAAACTGCTCAAATAATTATGCAAATAAGACAGTTTTAGCAATTTTGTTTATTAATTGGTTTGTTTTAGATTCTTGTTACGTGTACGGCTTAGCTTTTCGATTGCTGCATTTGCTGACTGAATTTTTTGTTTACATAGGAAAACAAAGCATTGTGAAATGTAAGATATTTTGTGAGCGAATCTTACTGTATTCTCAGCAAAATGAATAGATTAGTGAAACAAAAATATTCTTTCAACTATTTATATTTATACTTTAGCACATAAAGCTGCATTCTTTTGAGCATCTTCTATTGTATATCTAATGAATAGTTTATCGTTTATTGTTAGGAGCATTTTAAAATTTCTGCAAATAATTTGCATGGCAGTAGACGTAAGTAAGTAAGTAAGAATCGTATTGATATTATCTTATCTTCTTGCTTTCCAGTCCATCGTTGCTAGCGTGTACAGTGTTTCAAGAAGTTTACTGAATTCCAATTGATTAAAAGATTAAATACATTATAGGCAATGATAATTAGACCTGAAGTAAGCCCATTATTTCGTTTTCTTTTTTTGCTATAAAAATTTCTTGTCAAAAATGTAAAATGTACCAGAAAATTGTTTATAAGCAGAAAAAAAAAAAAAAAAAAGATCTATTTATAAGCAGGTAAAAAAGGAGTTATACTTCTTATTCATAGTGTACACTGTTGACAGTGATTTGCTTGTTTCAAACATCAAACAATAATTTATTACATGATTATATCCAAGTATTTAAGTGTTATACGATATTTTTCCAAGTGATGAAGAAATGATAGATGTGTCATGTGAAGAAATCTTTTAAAACATTTAATAAAATTAAACTTTTCAAATGTTTTATCTGATAGGTAGAGCATCTTTTAGAAAGTTTTCTTTTTTCGTTTTCTTCTTTTTTTTTTTTCTTTTCTTTTGTATTTTCTTTGTTCTATAATTTATGCACAATAAGAATTGTTTATATTTTATTGTATATTCAACAAAATAAATTATTTATTTCGTGTTTTTTTCTTTTTTTCTTTTTTTTGTCGTCGAAATTCCGTATTTATTGTCATCGAAATAAAGAAGTTATTCAGTTATTATAGTTTTGTTTACCATACCATCTCATCCCATTTTGGAAATTTTCGAATATTTAAATGTTGTGATAGTGCAAGTATATGTGAAAAAAAAAGAAAGAAGCGATGACATGGACAATATTTAAACTTCTTATCTCAATATTTTTTATTTTTTGATAAGAAGAACAAAAAGAAAAAATATTTCTGAGTCAGTGAAATTTATTTTGGTTCACGGAGTAGGTGAGCACATTGTACGATACATGCCGTATCCTGAAATTAAAGTACCGTTTCTTTTTTTTTAATTTGAATATATTGAATGAAAAATTGATAGCTAGAAAATAGATTGATATGAAAAGATAATTTTGAAAATAAGCGATAAGATTTTTCCTTTTTTCTTTTATTTTTTCAAACAAAATAAGTTTTAGAAAATAAATTTCAAACAAAACCTTCATAATTTCATCAAAAGGATATTGACTGAACAATGCTATACAATTTCTAATTGTTATCGTATCACATTGAGACTAAAATAAATTGAAGAAATTTATTTTAGAAATTATTACTTTTCATTTTCTTCCTCAATTATATATGACTATAATAAAAGTTTGATATTATTAAAATATTTTTTTTCTGAAAAATTTAGATAAATAATCAAATTTTATATAATTTTCACATTTATAATATTATATTATTTTTAAAAAAAAAAAAAAAAAAAAATTATTACAAATACGTAATTATTTGTTCATTAAGCATACATAAATTAATTATTTATCTAAATTTTTTTTATTAAATTAAAAAAATTTTTTTTTTAAAAAAAATGACATACTCCATTATCGGTACATGTACAAGATTGACAAGGTGAAATACGTTTGATTTCATCAGGTGCTATTATTATATTACCAACATAGCAACGAGCTAAAATTTTTACTTTAAATTATAAATTTTATTTTTTTTTTATAAAAATTAATTTTTTTTTTTTTTTTTTTGTACAAATTTAGTTTTTTGCTATATTTTACAAAAAAAAGGAACAAAAGAAACTAATTATATTAATAATCGATAAATAGCTATATTTAAAAAAAAAAAGAATAAATGAAAAAAAAAGGAAGGATAAAGGTAAAAAAATATAATAATTTTTAATTATATAATTTTAGACTAATTATTTAAATTATTTAAAACTTTTAGACTAATTATTTATATCCATAAAAAAAAAAAATTATTTAAACTTTTAGACTAATTATTTATATCCATAAAAAATTTGACTAATTATTTAAATAACAAATTTTATAGCATAAAATAAAATAACAAACGTCGATCGATCCATTGTTCTAAATTGATATGCTCAAAATGCGCACATGAAATTGGCGCATTCCTGTAAATTTATCAAATTCAGTTTGACATGATGATGATGATGTTTTATGATAATTAATTTTTAATTGTTAAAGATTAATTGACTAATTAATTTAGCTGTCCATTTAATTAATTATTATTGAATAATTGCTATTAAGTTAAAACTAAATAAAAGTCACTATTAGGTTAAAACTCTAAAAAAGTTTTTATTATTTAATGATTGAAATTAAAAAGTTTTTTTTATGATTTAACTGAAATAAAATAATTTAGCTAAAAATAACTGAAATTATCCATTTAAAGATTAATTAATGATGGTAATAACATGAATTTAAATTAATATTGATTTATGTAATAGTTTACTACATAATTTAATGAGATGTACGAGTGAAATAATAAACATTTATTTAAGTAGGAAAAAAGAATTTATAATAAGTAATAATTAAAATCGTATTTAATTAACTTAATTATAACTTATTATTTTCCCATAATTTATTAATAACTTTTGTTGCTTTTCGCTTAGTTTATACTAACAATTAAGTATTTTTTAATTTCCTTCAAACTTTTTAAATACGCATATACATCAATTAAAATATTTTAATACTGCTAAAATTATCATTAGATTAAATTTTCAAAAAAAAAATTGTAAACTGATGATTGAAATTATCAGTGCTGTAAATTGATAATTTTATAAAATTATAAAATTTAAAAAAGAAAAATTTACAAGAATTGATCAGGCAATAAAAATACATTTGGCTGTATATTTCGCAGCATTCGACTATTTGCGCATAAAAGTGAACTTAGCGTAACTTTTCTAATTTCATTAAGTTGCACTGAAATTTTAATATTGAATTATCTATTACAATTTAATTTGAAATTAATAAAATATGAACAAAAAACACAATTATTGTATAATTTTATTTTATTACAAAATGCTATTGTAAATAGATGAAATTAAAATTAAATTTCTTCAAACATTCTATTGCATATCAATTTAAATAGACAAAATTGAAATAAATTTCTAAAAAATTTTAATCGTATTTCAATGAAAAAAAAAAAATGCGCAAAAGAAAAAAATTACTTTTTTTTTTTTTACATTTTAATAAAATAATAAAATTTTGGTAAATTTTAATCATTTTTGAATGATAAAAAGAAGAAGAATGATCCATTATTGATTTTATTTTTATTATAACCAAAATATTTATATACATTAGTTAATATTTTAGCTACGTTTTTTTTAAAAAAAAAGAAAAATAAAATATTTAATAAAATATATTTTATTAAAATTGAAAGAAAAAAAAAAAAAAAAAACGAAATTAAAAATTAAAATTTTATTTACTTGGTGAAAAACGTATTGCATGCAAATCATTTTCATAATAAAATCGATCACATTTTTTTAAACGTTGAAATTGTTCTGCTATAATGCATGCCATTGTTGGTGGTAAAAGTGCATCTAAAAAAAAATTTTTTTTTTTAAAAAAAAATTAAACACAAAATTTGTAAATCCTTTTTTTAAAAAAAAAAATTTGAAATATTTTTAAAATACATTTCAACTATCATAGAAATAATTGTGTAAAAATGAAAAAAAAAAACTTTTTTTCTTTTTCTTCATTTAATTAATTTGTACAAAAAATATTTTGAAAATTTTTTCAATTAAAAATAAAAAAAAAAAAAAAAAAAATGTAAAAGAAAAAGAAACAAGAAGCATTTTTGAATTTAAAATCATAAATTAAAATTTTTATTTTTAACTTTTTCAACCTTAACTTACCTTCCATAGGTTTTTCACAAAGTAATCCAGGAAATAAATCAATATCATCAACTGTTTTATACAAATTTTTTAAAGCTATAACTGCTGATTCATCCATTTCATTTAATAAATCATCGAAATCTTTTGCTTTACCAATACCGCATAATTCACTTAAGTAATAATAAAATTATTTATTGCAATATTAATTTAAAAAAATAATTTAAGTATGCTAAATAAAAAAAACTAATTTATGTTAACTAGTAAAATTTGAAAGAAAAAAAAAGAAAATATTAAAATTATTCTTATTAAAATACAATTATAAACAATTTTTCTAGAATTCAATTCTTAATAAAGCAAGGAGAAGAAAAAAGTTGTATAATTCTGAAATAAAAATTAGTAATGATAATTAATTAATTAATAAGAAATAAACAAACACATTTGTTTCGTCCTTTTTTTTTTTTTTTTTTTTTTTTTTTTTTTTTTTTTTTTTTTTGTTTCCTTTTTTGACTCAAATTTTAAGTAAATTTTTTTGAAAGATATATTAAAATTAAACTTGTATTTTATTTTTTCTTCACTAACGTATAACACGTACGAGGAAATGTTGCGTGAAATATTTAAAAAAAAAAATTATTTAAATGTAAGAATTTAAAAAAAAAAAAAAGAAAAAATTATAAATACCGAAAAGCATTATAAGGTTGTACGCCATGATCACGTGCACGTAAAATATTTAAACTAATAAGATCCATTCCGGAAAACGGTTCACCACGTCGGCCGAATAAATGATTCCGTAATGCAGTGGTAATATGTCTATCAAATGCCATTGATGGTGCACCAAGTAAGCCAATAATTAGTGAATCAATGCTTCCTTTAAAATTAAATTATACGAATTAGAATATTAAATAAAATTAATTTGTGCTTATAATTTTTAAAATATAATTCACTTTTTATTCTAATTAAAAAAAATTATCAAGGTTATTAAATGCTTTCAAAAAGTTCTAATAACTTTTAAAATTCAAAAATATAAATCATATTTTTAACGAAGCTATAAAAATTTTATGCAGTTAAAACTAAAAAAAAAAATTAATTTCTAAAATATATAATTCAGTTATTTTTTATAAAATTTAATCTAATGAAATTATCAAGATTTTAAGCAACTAAAATTCAAAAAAAAAAAAAAATTGAAGTTTTAATTAATCAATTGATTGATTTAGTTCTAATTGTTAATTAATTTTTTTGTTAACATGAAAACATTTACAATTATTATTGTATTTTATTATTTATTTTTTTTTTTTTGAAATATTTTTATTGGCTAACATAAAATGATATCAATGATACCCTTATTATAATACAATAATAGTTCAAAATAAATTATACAAAGTAATTATTAATTTCTTTTTTATGTTTTATTCTTTATTTATTTTTTTTTTAAAAAAATTATACCTCGTTTACCATCATAAATTGCTTCAACAGAATTGAAATTTTCAACTAAATCAATTGGCTCTGTGAAATTTTTATAAAATGCATTAAAACGTGGAAAAAATCGACGAACTAAAGTATGACCAAAACGAAATGCAGATGTTGCAAATGGATGTGATATTGATGCATCACATTGATCATCATAACCTGGAGGAGAATAAGTAGTTTACTTTTAAATCACTTTCCAATATTAAAATAATATTTTAAAAAATTCGAATAGCAAAAGAAAATTTTAAAAAAAAATGTTAAAATAATATCAACAAAAAAAAAAAAAAAATTATAAATAATAAGTTTAAAAGAATATTAAAAAATGAAATGTATTAAAATAATAATTAAAAAATAAAAAAAAATATAAATAATAAGTTTAAAAGAATATTAAAAAATGAAATGTATTAAAATAATAATTAAAAAACAAAAAAAATTTATAAATAAAAAGTTTAAAAGAATATTAAAGAATGAAATGTATTAAAATAATAATTAAAAATAAAAAAAATTATAAATAATTAGTTTCAAAAAAAAAAAAATGTTGGAAAATAAGTTAAAAATTATATTCTTACTATTTTTTATCTTCCTATCATTTATCATTATATCACTAAATGCGCATTAATAAAAGGAAACAAAAAGTGGACGAAAATTTGAAACTAAGTTAAAATATAATTCGAAATTGGAAAAAAGGAATAATAAACTAAGTAATATTCAAGAAAAAAAAATGAAATAAAAAATAAATAATATTTTAAAAATATTACAAATAATTAAAATTTAATGGTTAAAATTTAGAAATAACAGCGAATGACATTGCAATTGTCAATTGCTTTCTATTGCTAAATATATTTTTTTGAAAAGAAAAAATTAATTAAATCAAAAATTATTTTTAAAAAAAATTGAAATATTTGTTTTTATAAAAATATTTTAAATTTTAATAATTTTACCATGATAGTAACCAATTTTATGAGTATTTAAATCATATTTATGCATTAATCGATTTCCAAGTAATAATGGTAAATAATCATTGTAAGTTATATGTGCAAATTCCGCGCCTACAATTCGCCTTGTTTCCTGCGAAAAAGGAAAAAATGAAAATGAAATTAAAGTTAAATAAAAATTAAATTAAGTTAACAAATATTTATTATTTTGAAGTAATTAATTTAAAGAAAAAAAAATGAAATGCACTATAAATTGTTTTATTTTTCATCTCAAATATTATATTAGCATATGTTTTATACAATTTTAATATGAATTAATTAATTTTTAAGAAATGAATTAATTAATCTATAATTGATCTCATTTTTCTAACTGTTTATGTTAGCATATGATTAGCAAATATTTATTACTGCAAATTAATTAATTAATTAATCTTTTTCATATCAAAATTTTGGAGAGTAGAAATTAAAATAAATAAAAAAATAAATAAATAAAATGAAATAAAAAATTTATTTACTTGAAAAATTCGTTCATCATTCCAAAATGGATTCATTTCTTCTAATTTTCGAGCAATTCGATTATGCTCACGTAAAAATATATTATGCATTGATGTTAGACCCGGTTGATGACTATTCCGTTCATCACCGGCAACAAAACACATGAAATCCGGTTTGGAACGACAATCCTGCTCCTGATCACCTTGTGGTAATGCTTCTCTATTAACAAATAATAAATTATTACTTCAAAATTATTCAGCTAATACTAAAAAAAAAATAATTAATTAATTAATTGTTGTAGAATAATTTACTAAAATTTTGAAAATTTAAAAAAAAAAAAATTCGGAATTACGGATTGAATATGCCAAGATTTGTGCTATTAAGCCGACCACCAACAAAAGTGCGCAATTCTTTCATTTCACATTCTGTGGAACCATAAATCGCTGAGCCATCCAAATATGCTGTTAACTATAATAATATATTAAATATAAGAAACCGGTAAATCCGGTTAGTTTTCCGCAATAATCATTATTCTAATTCAGATTATCAGAAATTATTGTGATGTTATATGATTTATCTATTAATTGCTAAACAAATACATTTTCGAAAAATTTCTAAATAAAAATTAATTTTGCTATAATATCTTTAATCAGTTAATAATTACATAACATATATTTTAATATTTCAAATTTAATTTAAATATTTACAAAATTATCCATAAAGTGTATAAACTGAAGAATTATTGTAAAAGTTAGCTTTTAAATTATTAAAAATAAAAAATAAAATTAAGAAAATTTTTGTTATAAATAAAATTACAGCATTTTTTTTAGCATTCAGCTATTAAATTAATAAAATTGAGAAAAATTTTAATAAAAATATTATGTAAAAAAAAAAAAAAATATTAAAATTAAGAAAAATTTTTTAGTACAAATAGGAAAAAATTACAGCATTATTGTAATAGTCAACTATTAAATTATTAAAAAAGAAATAAAAAATTAAATTCAAAAAAAAAAAAATTTTTTTAAGTAAATAAAAGAAAATTAACTTATTTCTTGTAAAAATTAGCTATTAAATTCAAATATAAATAATAAAATTAACAAGAAAACCTGATTAATTTGATTACGATAGCCAAGATTTAATTGTCCAAGAAGTGACCGAGTGAATGGTAAACAACGTCGTTTACCATTTTCATCATAAATTGGAAAAAATGGATCATTTAATGGTATTGGCAATGGCATACAATGCATTGAGAGAATTTCATTTGAATCACAACGCGTACAATTCAATATTTCATTATCTGGTCCTTTAATTAATTAATTAAGTAATTAATTAATTAATATAGAGAAATATCATCATGAAAATTAATAATTGTAATTGTTTATTAATAAGGATTCAATATTTCATTATCTGTTCCTTTAATTAATTAATTAAGTAATTAATTAATATAGAAAAATATCATCATGAAAATTAATAATTGTAATTGTTTATTAATAAGGATTCAATATTTCATTATCTGGTCCTTTAATTAATTAATTAAGTAATTAATTAATATAGAGAAATATCATCATAAAAATTAATAATTGTAATTGTTTATTAATAAGGATTCAATATTTCATTATCTGGTCCTTTAATTAATTAATTAATATAGAGAAATATCATCATGAAAATTAATAATTGTAATTGTTTATTAATAAGGATTCAATATTTCATTATCTGGTCCTTTAATGAATTAATTAATTAATTAATTACCAAATTATCGTAAAAAAATATCATCATAAAAATTAATAATCATGAAAATATTATCATAAAAATCATAAGAAAAACAAAATAATTTTTGCATTTTGCAAAAATTTAATAATTGTAATTGCTAAATAAATAATAAAAAAATTTATTATAATATCATACTTGTTATTATTAGATTTTTTGAAAGGAATTTAAAAAAAAAAATGATTTCATAGATGTATTATTAAAATTTTAACTTATTTTTTTTTTTTTGGAACTAAATTAAAATATTTTTTTGATAAATATTTTTATTATTCGTGAAATTATTTATTACATAACATAAAATTGTTAATTTCTAAATTAATTTAATTACCATGTTCGATAGGTGAATGTGTTAATTCATGATCAAGAATTTGTCCAAATTGCATAATCATATGACTATAATTTTGATAAGTAATTGGTAAATCAAAATGTATTGCATTTGAAATTACACGAGCTGATGGTAGTAAATCACCAGTGATCGATTTTGATCGTGGCATATCGATTCCTAAAATTATTATTCATTTTTTTATTTTTATTTTTTTTACAAAATGGATAATATTATGGATAATTTTAACTCATTAATATAATATTTTTATTGATAATTTTAATTGATTAATGTAATATTTTTATTGATAATTTTAATTGATTAATATAATATTTTTATTGATAATTTTGATTCATTAATATAATATTTTTATTGATTTTAATTCATTAATGTAATATTTTTATTGATAATTTTAATTGATTAATATAATATTTTTATTGATTTTAATTCATTAATATAATATTTTTATTGATTTTAATTCATTAATGTAATATTTTTATTGATATTTTAATTCATTAATATAATATTTTTATTGATTTTAATTCATTAATATAATATTTTTATTGATTTTAATTCATTAATGTATATTTTTATTGATAATTTTAATTCATTAATGTAATATTTTTATTGATAATTTTAATTGATTAATATAATATTTTTATTGATTTTAATTCATTAATATAATATTTTTATTGATTTTAATTCATTAATATAATATTTTTATTGATTTTAATTCATTAATGTAATATTTTTATTGATAATTTTAATTCATTAATGTAATATTTTTATTGATATTTTAATTGATTAATATAATATTTTTATTGATTTTAATTCATTAATATAATATTTTATTGATTTTAATTCATTAATATAATATTTTTATTGATTTTAATTCATTAATGTAATATTTTTATTGATAATTTTAATTCATTAATATAATATTTTTATTGTTTTTAATTCATTAATATAATATTTTTATTGATAATATCATTGTTAATTTTATATGGAAAAGAAATGCATAAAATGATTTGAAAGAAAATGATTTCAAAAAGAAATGCATAATTATAGTATAGCTATTAATTATAATAATTAAATGTCGTAATTAAAATTAGAAAAAATAATAATATTAATTATTAATAAAATAACACTAATCACATAAAATAATAATATTACCAATAAAATAATATTAAATAATTGGCAATAAAATAATATCAATTACATAAAATAATAATATTGGTTAGCAGTAAAATAATATCAGTCAAATAAAATAATAATATTAATTATAAATAAAATTATATCAAGCAAATAAAATAATAATATTAATCATATTATATAGTAAAAAAAAAATGAATAAAAAAATTAAATAGGTAATAAAAAATTAATAATATTAATTGCATTATAAATACTATCTTTTAAGAGAATTTAAAATTTTTTAAATAATACAATTTTAAAATTTTTCATTCTTGAGATGAATATAATTATTACTTTACTATCATTTAGCTTTTGGTTTCTTTTTTCTGGTTTTTTTCAACTTATTTTATACATTTTGAATTTTTTTTCTCTTTCTTTTCTACTATTTAATTTTTTTTTTGAAAATTAAAAAAAAAAAGCAAACCATCATCATATGCTGGTGGTAGAAGATGAATTAATGGACCAAATGCATTAGCAAAACGAGGATTTTGAAGATTGTTACACCAACCGGACATTGTCCTATACCGTGTCACATCATCGCATGGTAAATTTCGAGGTAAACATTTTTCCACCGAACCGCCGCGTCCAAGAAATGGTTCAATTCTGCTAATAAATCTAAAATTCAATCTTAAAAATCAAAAAAGAAAAAAAAAAAAAAAACAAAGCAAAACTATTTATATATTCTTTATTTATTGAAAATGAAATTTATAATTTTACACATTTACATTCATACTTTGTAAACATATAATTCAATATTTTGTTACATTCTCTCTTTTTTTTTTTTTTTTTTTTTTTTTAAATCAAAATTTTGTCAACAAATTAAACAATTCTATCATTCATCTAAAAAAAAAGAAAAATTTTACCAGTTTTTTTTTTTTTTTTTTTTTTTTTTTTTTTTGAATTTATTAATATTAATTAGTTATGATAATAAAAAAATTATATATTTGTTTCGAAAAAACTTTTGAAACAATCAAACAATAAATTCAATGGTAATCTTTATTTAAAGCATTCAAATTTTTTAATTTAACCAAAATTTATATTCAAATTCTTGCAGAAATATTTCTTTAAATATTGTTTTTTTTTTTTTTTTTAATTAAAATTAAAATTAAAACAAAATAAAACAAAAAAAAGACCTGTGGAAAAAACTAACGAGCTGACGTCGATTTGTTGTAATAAATTTTGCATTTCATTAATATCATTCACTTCTCCTAGCAATTCTTTATTATTTTCTGTTCCAATGCTATAATAACAAATAAATTTTTATCAAATTATTTCTTATTAAATTAGCGATTATTAATTTTTTCATTTTTTTTTAAGCCAATAAGTTTTTATCAAATTCTATGATAAAAAAAAAAGATTGATAAGCTTACATAGATAAAATATTTTTGGTAGCTTGTAAGAAAACATCAGATACTCGAGAAATTGCAATTGCTTCATTCTTTGCTCTCATCATTTTACCATACGATAGTAATGGATCACCAGATTTGAACAAATCTTGATCTAAAAATGGTGGTAATGGGTCATCAGATTTAAACAAATCTTGATCTGAAAATGATAGTAATGGGTCATCAGATTTGAACAAATCTTGATCTAAAAATGACGGTAATGGGTCATCAGATTTAAACAAATTTTGATCTAAAAATGATAGCAATGGGTCATCAGATTTAAATAAATCTTGATCTAGAAATATCAAAATTTAATTTTTAATAAAATATCAAATTGTTTAATATTATATTATAACAGATTTAAAATATCAAAAATTCTAAAGTCTTAAAAAATTTTAGGTTTTTACTCTTTTTTTAAATGAAATTTAAAAACAATTACTACAAATAATTAAGAAAACTAATTATTGCACAAATAATTAAAAACAAACTATTTCATATTATATAAACAAGGTGATTATATGTGAAGTATATAAAATATTTTAAATTAGAATTAAATTCAATTAATTTATTATAAGCTCAGTAATTAAATAAAAGTTACAATACACAAAACACACACAGGATTTATTAATTAACTTATTACTTTCTATACAACTAATTAATTTTAAATCTAATCAACTTATAATTAAATTATTTCGATGCAGTAATAAAAATAAAAGTTAAAAAATAAATTTAATACTTTTTCGTATATTACGTCGTTCACGTTTTTGACGTTGCTTAACGCCTTCTATAGCAATTTCTATTGCTTTCTCAATTTTTTCCTCTGTTAGCGGTAAATTTAATTTATAATTTGATTTATCAAGCCATTTAGCAATATTCGTATCTGCATGTACTGTTTCATTACAGTAAATTGGATAATTGCTGAAGAAATTTTTGATTAAAATTATTGACATTTTTGCAAGAATAATTATGCATGCAAACAAAAATCATTATATTATAGTGATTTTTTAGAGGAATATTTTTATATTTTTAATATATTAACAAAAAATTTGCATTTACTTACTCATAGTCATTCTCTAATTCAAATATTTTTAAGAAAAACTACACAAACTGATAAAAATCACTCTTTATTATAGTGATTTTTTTAGCAAAAATCATTATGTTATAGTGATTTTTTAGAGGAATATTTTTATATTTTTAATATACAAACAAAAAATTTGCATTTACTTACTCATAGTCATTCTCTAATTCAAATACTTTTGATTGAATTTTATCAAATGATTTCACATTGCTACAAAATATTTTTGCCATTGTTATTTTTCGAATTTCCATCAATTGTTCATCACTAAAACGTATTTCTTCAAAATTATTCTCATACCAGTAGCGATCACCAGTTTTTGTCTAAAATTTATGCAAATTATTAGTTAACAAATTAATAATTAACTTATTGAAATTTTTAAATAATATAATAAATCATAAATTTTAATTGCATTTTTATCTTTTATACTATTATTCCATCTAATTATATATTTAAAAAACTTTTATCGCTAATTTACGAATTAATAAACTATTTATTAAATTACAATTGCTTCAATAAAAATGATAAATTTTAAAACTTAATTAATTAAAATTTAAAAAAGAAAACCAAAAAATATAAAAATAGTAAAAGAAAAAGAAATGAAATGAAAAAAAAAAAAAAAAAAACCTTTTGAAATTGTAATGAAATAATGCAACTAAATGTTGGTCCAACAATTGCATCATTTAATGGTTTTTCAATTAAACCAAGCAAAAATAAATCCATATCATCCACTGTTTTATATAATTTTGATAATTCTTTTATCATTTCTGTTCCATCGATTAAATCATCCATTAAATCATCAAATGATTGAATCTATTTTTTAAAAAAAAAAAGATCTATTATAAAATAAAATAAAATTTGTTTAAAGAAAATCACAAAATAAAATTGAATTCATTCAAAGATTCTTTCATAAAATAGAATAAATAAAATTGAATTTGTTAAAAAAAAATCACAAAATAAAATTGAATTCATTCAACGATTCTTTCATAAAATAGAATAAATAAAATTGAATTTGTTAAAAAAAAAATCACAAAATAAAATTGAATTCATTCAACGATTCTTTCACAAAAATTTTCTTTTTTTTTTTTTTTTTTTTTTCAATGCATAGATATTTTAAACAATTTCAATTTTATTGTGTGATAATTTATTTTAAACCAGAATTCAATTTCATTAATTCTAAGTAATTAAAAAAAAAAGATTTTTTTTTCGTCATAAATTTTTTTTTCTTTTTTTTTATATGTTTATATTAAATTTGTAAAAATTTGAAATAATCTTAACCTTACTACCATTACAATATTCTCGCCATACAGTATATGGTGGTATGCCATGATCACGACCCATTTGTAAAATTAATGCAATAAATTCAGATGCCAAATTTTTGTTTCTTTTAAAAAAATTATTATAAAATTTATCATTTGTATACGTTAGTGATTCATTAATTGGTTCACGTAATACGTACCTAAAATTAAAGTAATTAAAATTTATAATTTCTATTTTAGTAATTTGTAATTTTTATTTTAATTCATTTCTCTATTGCTTTTTATTTTCACATTCTTAAATAAAATCTTAGAGTAATAATAAAAATTTTAGAACCTTTTTTTTTTTTTTTTTCTTTTTGTTTATTTATCATTTAGAATGATTAATTGAATATTTTATAATTTGTATAATAGAAAATATTATTTTAGTGAATTCTTTTAATCATTCATTCTCGTAGTTTTTGTTTTTAAGTAAGAACAAAATTATCCAATCGTATAAAAATAAAAGAATTAATTTCAATTCATCAATATATCTTTATATTATTGATTATCATATCAAAAGACAACAAATAAACAAATAAACAACTAAATAAATAAATAAATTTAAGCATACCTTAGTAAATCTCTAGTTTGATCTTTTGAAAAAAGTAATTCGGGATCATTAAAATATTCATTTAATGATCGTTCAAGTATTTTAATGCCATCATTTTTATGCCATTGAAAATATTTGCCAAACATTGTGACAAAGAACTGTAAAAGGAAAAAAAAAATATTTTAAAATTTCATCAAATTAAGGCAAAGAGAAAAAAAGATCAAAATGTAAACATATAATTATAAATTTAGAAAAAAAAATTTTTATTATTTTTTAAATTTATCCATGAAAAAAAAAAAAAAACAAATCTTAATGTTATCAAATTTTTTTTATAACAGTAATGAAATCATTTAAAAATTTCAATAGAAAAAAATATTTATTATACTATTATTTTGAAATGTACATTTTTAAATTTTAATTTTTCTTAATTTATCTATGAAAAAAAAAAAAAAAAAAAACAAATCTTAATGTTATCAAATTTTTTTAAAATAATAATACTGAAGTCATTTAAAAATTCAAAAAAGTAAAATATTCATTATACTATTAATTTCAATTGTAACCGAATAAGAATAATGGAAAATTTTTAGAAATCTATTACCAATAAATTAATTAATTAGTTTTAAAAAATTAAGAAATGAAATAAAATAAACTTGTCCAGCAGTAGTAGCATATGTATTGATAATAGTTGAATCAGTATTATCATTATAATTATTACTATATCCAATTGTTTCTGATTGTAAATTAAATTTTAACCAATTTTTTTTGCCAATTAAATTTGGTAAAAATTCATTAAAAGTAATATGTTGTAATTGAGCAATTACAATTCGTCGACTTTCTTGATACAATTGTTCATCGGACCAATGTGAATTTATAATCTAAAATTTTTATTTTAAAAAAAAAAAAAAAAAAAAAAATAAATTATTAATTAATGATTAATAAAAATTGAGAGAAAAAGTTTTATTTTTTAATATATATTTATATTTTTATTTGTATTTTTTATTTTTGATATGAAAACTAATCTTAATTGTTTGCTAATTTTTGAAAGTTTATAATCGATAATTCATTTTAAATTAAAAATAATATTAATTAATTTATTAATGATTCAAAAAAACAAAAGCAAAAAGAAAAAAAAAATGAAAATCATATAATATTTGTATTTTATGGAATTAAATTCATCTTAATAGTTGCTAATTTTTCGAAATTATTATGAAAACATTTTATCTATTATACAAATAAAATATGAGAAAAAAAATTGAAATTTATTTTGTGTCTTTTAATTCTGATATGAAATTAATTTTAATCATTGATAATTTTGAACATTTACAAATGGATTAATTAAAATTATTATCAATGTTTTGTTTTGATTATTTTGTTACATTTTCTATCAGAAAATCAAAAAGCTACAAAGTAAATTTATAACTAAATTAAAGTTTATTAATATATTTTATAATTACCAATTACAAGTAGATGTAAATAAAAAATTATTTAATTATTTACAATTATGATTATTTATTAATTTAATTTAATGACAATTAATGAAAACAATCACCTTACACTTATTTTATTAATTAAAATAAAAAAAAAAAAAATTAATAAGTATAATTTGATGTTGAATATTTTCTTTTCATCTTTTATTTTTCTGTTTTGTTGATTAAAATTTAGTATAAAAATTAAAAATTAAAAAATGAAATGGAAAAAATAAATAAATAAACAATAAAATTACCTTTAAATTAGTAGCAATTCGATTATGTTGACGTAACCAAATGTTACGAAGAATGATAATAGATTGTAAGAAATTTAAATGATTTGAATTCAATGAATAATATTTATTTGTTAAATCACAATTAGCAATTGTTATTTGTAATAAATTACAAAATGTGCTAATTGTTGGTGAAATATTCGAATTCATTAAATTTAAATTTGTTAATAGATGACCTAAAATAAGTATAATTATAATTATAATAATAATCATTTAATAATTTATCAATATTTTAATTAATTTTCATAATAAATTAACAAAAATTAATTATATCAATTGCTGATAACTTATACACATATGCGTTTTTATTCTAGTAAAAAATTTTTTATAACTAAAAAATTCATAAAAAGATAATTAAAATTAATCATTAGCTGATATTTTTCATTCATTTGTTTTTTATATTTATTTTTATAATACTAAATTGTTTTTTTTAATTTCATATTTTATTTATTTATCTTTTTTTAAAAAAAAAAAAAAAATGATTATTTATTAGAAGATAAAAGATTTATAGAATGTTTAGTCTAATATTTATTCTTATTTGAAATTTATACAACAACAACAATAATTAATTTCGTTCCCATTTATATACAAATATTAATTAATTAATTATCTAACGATTGCATAAGTTTCCTTTTTTGATTATTCCAAACTTTTAAAATGTTATTTACGCATTATTGCGTAAAAATTTTTATGTTACATTTTATAACGGAAATTTTATTGTGTTTTCATATGAAAATATTTTTGAAATAAATGCGTTGAAAATTAACGCATTTTTTCTAAATTTTTTTTTTTGTTTATTTTTCATTTAAAAAAAAAAAAAATTAATGATAACAATCTTAGGAAAACTTTAATAAAGAAATTAAAAAATATAATACTTACCATTTTTAAATGTTCGTATAGCACGTGCTTGTTGTATGGTAGTACCATAAATAATGCTAGCGTCAAGAAAGCTCGTAACCTGATTAGCTTGTTCACGTGAACCTAATTTACAATTAGGATGTGGTGCTGGAGCGGTACGTGTATATGATAAACAATCAGGTAAATTACTATAGTTAGGATCATTTTTTGGTACCATAATTGGTTTACATTCTGAATGTTGCTTAAATTTTGTTCCACAACATGGTAATAAAATTTCCACTTCATCTAAAAATTATGGGTTTTGATATGTAAACAATAATTTATCTTTTAAATAGTAAACAATAATTTATCTTAATTCAAATCAATCAATAATTACTAACTCTTAATATTATGCAAATTAATTTAGTAATATTACAGAGAATTTTTCTTTTTTTGTTTTTATTTTACAGTATGAATTTTAAAAATAATTAAAAATAAAGCAAATTATTAATTCAAACCTGTTAATAATTGAAGACTACTGGTATGTACTAAATCAGTGTAAATAAAATGCGCCCAAAGCGCATTTAGCATATTTATATTTAATGCTGTTGAATGATTCATCATGAAGAATAAATTTGATAAATGTAAAACATTTGGTAATTCACTGTTGTCAATAATTGATGTACGCAATTCATCAATTCCTAAAATATAATTTATTATTAATAATAATAATAATCTTTTTTCATTTTCTTTTTTGATTTTTATTTTAATTAAAATTTCGAACTTATAATTTTTAAACTTATAAAACTTTTAAACTTGTGCATAGCAAAAAGAGAATGAATTTTAAAAAGATATGCGATTAATTCATACCATCAATCATATATTAAATTTTAACATTAAATTTACATATAAAATTGTGAGGCAATTTTTTTTTTTTTTTTTGATATATAATAAAATTTATATTTAATATATTTCATATTTAATTTATATTTAGAATTTATAAATGAAATGAATTTTTATGCATTAAATTTTCTTTTTTGCATTTTTGCATTATAAAATATTATTGTTAGAATCAATAATTTATAAATTTACTACATAAATTTTTTATATAAACAGAAATAAAAGATTATTTGAAATTTAATTCTAACTTATTTGGCATTTAAAAATGAATTCCAAATGAAAGCAATCAATAAACAATAGTAATAACAATATAATTAAGAAAAGCGATGATAACAATAAGAGCAATTAATTATATGTAAAATAACAAAAACAACAGCAAACAGTAATAATAAGGACAATAACAATAATAGTAGCAATGAAAATATCAAGCAACAATATCTATAAAACAATAACACAGAATAGTAGTAACAATAAGAATAACGATTAGCAGTTTCAATAAAACAATAACAATGACAATAAAATTAACATAAATAGCAATGATAGTAACAATAAACAATAATAATAATAATTGTAGTATTTCTTTAGAAATCCGATGAAGCGATCATTTTTTTATGCAATCAATATTTTATTTAAAATTTAAGATATTTACTAAAGAATTATTCATAATTAAATTTTAATAAATCAGTCAATCAATCAATTATTGATTATACTAAATTAATTAATACATTTATAATTTCCTATTACATTAATATACGTTTTATAATTTTTCTATATATTTATGTAATCGAAAAATTCTATTTAAATTTTCGATTACATAAATAATTAATGATAAGTCCTATTTTTATTATCTAAATATTTCATTTTTTCAATATTTTTTCATAAAATTCACTTTTTTATTTATCATTTTGAAAAAAAAAAAAAGAAATATAATAATAGTATTAAAAAAAAATATATAATAATTTTATTGTTCATAATAAAATTATAGAAAAGAAATGTAATAAAAATATGACAATTTTATTATTTACCTATTATAAATTAAAAATGAAAATTAAAAAATAAAAATTTAGCTATTGTAAGTTAAAAATAAGAATTAAAAATTTAGGTATTATAAATTAAAAATAAGAATTAAATATTAAAAATTTGGGTATTATAAATTAAAAATTAAAAATTTAGGAATTATAAATTAAAAAGAGAAAATAACCATTAGCATAAAATGGTTCAATGATACGTTGCATTGGCATGCCAATAGCGCCCCAATTTGAATGAATAATATTATTGCAGGTACCATCAATGGTGCGATATTTACTAATTGTACATTTAATTTCATTTAATGGACAGTACTCATTAATATATTTTAAAATAATTGGTAAATTATTATCTATTTTAATGCCATCACTGAAAAAGAAAAAAAGAATTGTAAAATTTAATTGTTAATTTAAAAATTGTTAATTATTTATAATTTTTTAATTATTATCATTACATTTAATAATTATTAAGCATTAAGAAAAAAAAAAATATTTTGATGTTTTTTTATGCTATATATAAAAAAAAAAAATTTGTTATTTATAAATGTTACAGAAAGAAAAATTTTAAATATAAAAAAATTAAACAAAAATTAAAATTATTTAAATTGAACTGCAAATTTTCAAAAAAAAAAAAAAAAAAAAAAAATGGAGAAATTTGAAGTTTTTGTGTTAAGTTTTTTCATCATTACAGATTGCTATTATTATTATTATTGTGATATTAACAAAAAAAAAAAGATTCTAGACTAAATTCAAAATTAATTTATATTAATTTCGAAATGATTAATTAAATAGTCAAAATTTTAAGCACTTTTTTTTTGATCAAATTTACAACGTATAAATTTTTTTCTTTGCTTTCCATTTCAAAATAACAAAAAAAAAAAAAAATGTAAAATTGACCGTTTAAAAAAGTTCAAAATTTACTTAAATTTTAAAATTTCATTTATTCAAAATTAACAAATTTACTGCAAAGTTATTAAAATACCTAAAAAAAAAAAAAAAAGAAAGAAATTAAAATAAACTTTTTTAATTTTTTAGTAGCAGCAATTGAGTGAAGTGCAGCATGTGATAATTTTTGAGCATTTAATTGATTTGTTGTATGCAAATTCCATATTTTAAATGGTATTTGTATTTGTTCCATTACATCTATAATTTTTTTCTTTTTTAATAGATTTAATTAATTAATTAATTTTAAACTTTATTTTAGGAAAAACAAAATAAAAAAAAAATGAAAGAAAGAATTGTTGAAATAACACATTTGAATTAATTTAAATTTATACTTTGTGTTAGAATTGATTCATCATAAAATTGTTTAAGTTCATCGATATTTTGTCGTGCATCATTGAATGCATTCAAAAGTATTTTATCAATTGTTTCTAAAAATTTTTAAAATTTAAAAAAAAAAAATTGAAAAAAGTAAATGAATTGAATTGAAATTGAATCTGTTAATGTAATAATTTGATGAAAAAATTTTTTATAATTGTTTATTTTTTTTTATTCTTTGAAAAAATGACAATTTATAATAATTTTTTCTTTTCTCCAAAAAAAATTTTCTGCCATTTTTTCTTTTTTTTTTTTTGCAAAATTTTTGAAAAATAAATTTTAGTTTTGTTATTAAACAATAAACCAATTATTTAATTTTCTATCATATTGAAATTATATTCTATGATGTAAAATTTAAACAACAACAAAAAAAAAAAGAAACTCATAAAATGAAAATAATTTTTGGTGACAAAATTTTGTTTTGTAGAATGTAATTAAAATATAATAAGTGAATTTTTTTTTTTTTTATAATTACTAATGAAATATTTCATAAAAAAAAAAAAATGAATGATTAACTTAAATTACTAATTAATATGTCTTATAAAACTTATTTTATTGTATTTAATCTATAAGTTACAAAATAAATAAAAAATTGAATTATTAAAATTATTATTTAAATTTTACTTTCTTCCGCTGTTTTATCAGCATATCCATTGGGTATAATAATTTGTAGTGATATCCAAATGCATAATTTTAGTGACATCTGAAAATAAAATTTTATATTATCAAATTTGAAATAACTTTGAAATATTAATCTGTGATCTTTTCTTTTTTTTTTCTCAAACAAACAAAAAAAAAAATTTTTTTTAAAAAGCACAAATTGAATATTATCATAAAATTAAATGACAGAATACGAATATATGAAATAAATAAAATCGTTAATTAATTAATTAATAAGAAGAAAAAAGTGAAACCAAAATTTGTTTAACAAAAGCAATTAAATGTGCTAATTAATTTTTGAGATATTTAATTTTGCTATTAGATTATAATATATTTAGGAAGAATTTGTAATTAATTTAATGAAGCAGATCACTAGAATAATCTTACAGTTTAAACTTAACTTTTTAAATTTAATATTTTAAATGTTAAATTCAAATAACTGAGTGAATCGAATAAATACAAAAAATATTATCAAAAAAAAAAAAAATGATACAATTTGAAAAATATTAGTGCTAAATTTGCTTTGCAAAATAAAATTGAAAGACTTAATTTCAAAACGGAAAAATTAAAAATAATTTTTTTTTTCTTTTTTATAAATTAAAATTAAATATGAGACTATTATTGCATATTAAATAAAATTTTAATTATTGGATGCAATAAATGTTACAACAAAAAAAGAAAAAGAAATGATATTAATAAAAAAAAAAAAAAATTGATAAAATCAAAAAATTTATTTTCAGTATTAAATTTTGATTAATATTATGATAACAATTGATAATGTAATTATTTTTTAATGAATGAAATGTATGTTTAAATACAAAATTTAATAACCTGATGTGTTTTTTTTTTTTTTCTTTTCTAACATTAAATCATTTTTTTTTTTTTTTTAAAAAATAATTATATTATCAGTAAAACAAGTTTTAGGATAATTATTTGAGGAAAAAGTATAAAATGCTTCAAAATTACAATATATATAATTCATTATACTCGTCTATAAAATTAGGACATTTTCATGTAAATTTTTTTTTTTGTAAAAATATAAACTATTTCAAACATTTGACAAAATTAACATTTTTCATTCTAAAAAAAAAAAAATTAAAACTTCCAATTCAATGATTAAATAAGTCTAATTAAATATATTTTGTGTGACATTTAATTTAGGTCAATGTGTCACAGAAATGATAAAAAATTCTTACCAAAATGGTTTTTTCATCATTCTTTTCCTCTTTTTTTTTTTTCTGCCTAAAAATTATCTGAAATCAAAATTTGAAAAAAAATTCAAAAAATATTATCTGAAATCAAAATTTGAAAATGGTAATTAAGAATTTTGTTGTTGTTATTTTAATTAAATGAAATTATAATTATTACAAATAAATTTATTAAAATGATTAAAAATGATTTTTCAATTCAGGTTGGCAATGTTATACAATGATATCAAAATCAGTTTTTTTTTTTTTATTCATTTTATATATACAAAAATTTTCCATTAAAAAATTTGGAAATTATTAATTGGAAATTAAATATTTCATTTATTAATATTTTTATTACATCATAAAATGCTACAATTTAGCAATAGTTTTATAGTATGAATTTACTAAAACAATAAATTGTTAAAAATTATTAATAAATTTTTATTTTAAAATATTCATTTAATAAATTAAAACAAAAATGAAATGTGAATGTAAAAAAAAAAAAAAAAAATGAGAAATAAAATGGAAAATAAGAAAACAAAACAAATGAATGAACAAACAAAAGAAATAAAAAATCGAAACTTTTTTTTTTTTTTGAATTTCTGTTCTATTTTATTAAATAAACAGAAATAAAAGATAAAAAGGAAAAAAAAAAAAGAGAAATACAAATGGATGAAAGTGCGAAATTTTTAAAAACTAATTAATGAAATTTAATTTTAATTTTAATTTATGATTAATGAATATTTGTTGCTTTTCCTTTTTTTCTTTTCTTTCATTTCACTTTTTCTTTCTTCTTTTTTTTTTTTTTTTTGTAAAATACCATCAGAGTGACAAAGAAAATGAAAAAGTGAAAAAAAAAATTTTTGATTTTACAACAATTTTAATGAATTAACAAATTATGCAACAAAAACTTTAGAAAATTTTTTAGTATTTTCGGCAAAAATTATTTTCTTAATTTTCAGATATATCATTGGAACGTCTCTAAAAGTATCATTTTTTTTTACATTTTCAATGACATATAACATCCATAATTATTATTTTTTAATATTTCTTATATAAGAATATTTTTTAAAAAAGAAAATAAAAAAATATTTTTTAAAAAAAAAAATGTTTTGAAAAATGAAAATTATAAGACTTTTTTAAAACAAATAAAAATATTTTATGTTACATTTATATTAAATTTACACAAATTGCTGCTTCATTTTTTCTATTTATCTTCAGATTTGTTATTTTTTGACAGTACAAAAGTGATTTAATGATTATTTCTTTTTTTTTTTTTGTTGATATGAAAAATTCTTTTCAATTTTTGGCTGATAAAATAACTATTTTAAAATTTATCATTTTAATAACCACTTTAATTTTTGATTATACAAGAGCAAAAATTTTTTGTAAAATCACATCAATTATTGTTTAATAAATAGATTCTAAATGATGTAATATGATAATAAATAGATTTTATATGATTAAATATTAAAAAATAGATTCTATATGATTATTGAAAACTTTTATGAAGTTCAAATTTAAATAATACTTAATAATAGTGTTACAATTAATGCTAATAAATAGAATGCAACTCAAATTGCTTAATTAATCCTCTTATTAATTTTTATGTTTAAAATAAAATTAATAAAATTGCTATTCGGAGTGATTAATTTCAGATTATTTTAGATGAACACATTCCTATGTTAAACAAATTTGAACAGTTAAAAAGAAAAAAGAAAAAAAAAAAAACGAACACATTTTGAAAAATGAATGAATAAAAAATATCAAACTAAATTGTTGTTTACTTATTGAAACGATCTTTTTTTGTTTAATTTTTGATCTTAAAAATTTTTTGATTTTTTTTTCGGTAAATGTAATTTCTTGATCGATCATAGAGTTCAAAGAGAAATTCTAGAAATCTTATCATTCATTATAATAATCAAATTAATGGTTATAGATGGTTCGAAGAATTATATATGTTTCCTTCTTTCTAATAATTTCCTATGTATTTTGTTGCTATTTTATTTTTTAATTATTATTTTTATATTATTCTATTTTTGGTATTTTTATTACATTTTCAGTAAGATTAGATAATTTTTTTTAGGATTTTTTTAAAGTATATTTTGAAGAGCAAAAATAACTATTTTTTCTTTTGTTTTAAATTATCATAGTTTTTTAATTTTTTTTTTTTTTTTTTTTGATTGATTTGGTATTACAGATGAAACTATTGTCAGTGTGAATTGATTTATAGAAATTGTTGAATATCAGTGATACTGAAATTATTGATATGATAACAATGGTAATTTGTGTTTTCATTTTTTTTATGAAGTCTGATATCTTTTTTTTTTTTAGTTTTATTTTTCAGTTGATTCAAACATTTAAATAAAACATTTATTATAATTTATAATATTTGAGATTTAGCTACTTTGCAATATAACTTTATTCATTCACTATTACACTAAATACTATTCCAATTAATCTAGTTCTAATATCATTTTAATATTTGACAATATTTTATGTTGTACTTTTCTTAGCTCTTTTTTTCTTCATACCACAAACAATAATTACATAATTACAACAACTACAATAATTACATATTCATTACTACGATTAACAATAAAATGATTCTCGCTATCACTATTTTAATTTTCTAAAAATTTTTTCCATTTTTTTTTTTTTTTTTTTGAAAAGAGACAACATTAATAGAAACAGACACAACCACTACCATTTACTTTTTTTGTTTAAAAAAATACTTATCATATTTAATTTTTCTACATAATACGATATTTATGAGCAGCTTTACGATATGCATACATATCAATAATTAAATAAATGCCTTTTTCATTTTTCATACATTCTCGCATACTATTATAAAAAAAAAGCGTTGTCGGGATTGACTTCAGGAATGCTTCACCACGTCTTTTTGAATGCCATAGTAATTGCTCAAGAAATTCATCATCTGTTAATTCATCGGTTGGTCTATCGTATTCATATTGCTTAAAATTAATTTTATATTGATACTAATATTGATTTAAAATCATATTTTTGATGTATTCTATTTTTTTTCCATATCACATTAGAAAGTACTGTATTCTGTGACATTCTTACTGTTTTTGCGTTACCGTAACCTATAGTGCCACCGTATCATTTTCACATTGCCTCAGAGGATACTGTAATCTATTGCATTCTCGTTATTTTAAAATGATATTTAAAAGCATTCTATTATGTTTATACTTCATTGAAATGTTGAACATAAAAGAAAGAATGTTATATGAAATTGTGCTTTTACCGTAACATAGCTTTACCGTAATAATTGTTTTACAGTAATCGTAATAATTGTTTTACAGTAATGAAGCAATCATATTTTCATTACCTGTATATATTCATTAACTTTTTCACTAGCAATGCAAATATCATCGTCAGACATTCCAGGTATCCAATCACGTGTTCGTGCTACCTTCAATTCTTGTACATCATTCCACAATTTACGAAAATTATCACCAAGGAAAATTTTGGTAGCTGGCGGTACATATTTTTGGAGACCATGTTTGACCTATAATTATCTCAAATTTATTTATTAATTCTCAATACTTATTCATTATCATTTCATGATATGAATTAATTCTAATTGTATGAGGAATAAAAATGTAAATAATGAACATTCTTTTCCAATTTATCATGCAAAAAGAAAGAAAAAAGAAAAATGAAGAATCTGAGTTAGTTGATTACATAAAATTCAATTAAATTATGCAATTTAAAAAATAAAAACTGAAAACTTTTGAAAAAAATAAAATGTTTTTGGTATCTAAATCATTCATCATTTAATTATTCATAATATAAAATTTAAATTTACAAGCGTCTTCCAGAAAAAAAAAAAAAAGAAAAACAATTTGCCAATGTAAAAATTTAAATTAGTTATATAAAAAATTATTGAAAGTTTAACTAAAACTTCTTCCATTTGTTTTTTTTCACTATTTAAGTGTTCCAATTAAAGCATATTTAATATTTTTTCTTTTTTGTTTTTTTTTTTTAAAAAAAATTTAAATAATTTAAATAATTGATAAAACAAATGTTTAACCTGCATATTTTGTAATTTCTCCAAATGTTTAGCAATATTTTTCCAACGTTTTGCATGATAACATAAACTATTCCATAATGTTTCCGTCATGCATGCATTAATTTGTTTTGGATGTTCTAATTTTGGTAATTTCATTCTCTACAATTTTTAATTTTAATTTTAAATGAAAAAAAAAAATCAAAAATATAAAACAATATGAAATTATGAATGTATTAAATTGTATGTATTAAGAAGAAATACTATTTATTGCGTAGAAGAAACAAAAAAAAAAAAAAAAAAAACGAAGGAAAAACTATGCAAACATGATGACATGTATTTTGTACTTAATTATAATTATAAGTTTTTTCAACTAAATTAAATTATATTAAAATTTGAATCAAATTTAATTATAACTAAACAAAAAGGAAAAAAAGAAGAAAAATATATAACAAAAAAAGAGTATTAAAATACAATTTATATCAACAAACATTTATGATTGTTCAAATCATTAATATTATCATTTCCATCACAGGTAATTATAACTGCTTTATCAAAATGATAAAAACTAATAAATTACATTGATTAATTTATTTTACTAAATTTCTTCAAACTAATTAAGATGAGTAATCACTTAGATTAATTAGATAAATTATGAGTAAAACAGGTTAGCAAATCAAGTATTAATAATTATTCTAACAGCAAATATTTTTCATTTATTTTATTCTTTCTATTCGACCTAATTTTACCTCTCTAATCAATTTATTTTATTTTTGTTTGACGAATAATTTTTAATACACGTAAAAAAAAAAAATTTTAATACATACACGTAAACCTCGTACGCTCATAGCAGCACATTCAGTATAACTTCCAGAAAAATAACCACCTTCCAAAATAGCCAAAATTTTATTAGGCCATAAATCATCCAAAATTTTCATTATATGGCCAAATCTATATTATTAAATTATCACATTCTTTTTTTTAAAAAAAAAAAAATTTTCAATTGTTTGTCACTTTCTGTCATTTTTCTTTTCTTTCCTTGTAAAATTATAATAACATTTGCTAATATCGCATTACAATTTTTTTTGTTGTTGTTGTTGTTTTATTTAACAAATTATCAAATTTTCAATCTAAAATCATTATTTTAATTGAGAATTTTTAATTTTTAAATGTTTACAAAAAAAAAAAAGCAATTAAAAAAATGAATTAAAATAAACAAACCCATGAGCTTTTATGCCTTGTCCATGTTCTAGTAAATCATCATAATAAGCGCTATCAAATCCAAGCGCAACAAGTACCAATTCTGGTTGATACTCTTGCGCAATTGGTATTACAAGATGGCGTAGTGCGCCAATATAATCACCTTCCGTATTCATTGCACTGTTTAGTGGAATTGATATGATATTTTCTGATAATATTGTTAAATACAATGATAAAATACGAGAGTTTATCAGTTTGAATTTAAATTAAAATGTGACAAAATCAATTTACATATATACATATTTCTGTTATATTTCAATTAAAATTTAATTAAAATTTTATTAATCAAAAATTTTTGTCCTTATTTTATATTCAGCATATCTATTATTTAACATTCTTACGCCTTTTATTAACTATTATTTTAATTACATTTATGAAAATAATTATACAATTGCTATATTTATTAATAATATACTTATTTAATTTTGAATTATTGTAGAATTTGGCTTTTTTTTTAATACCTTTTTTTATTAACTTATAATATTTATTATTATAAATATATGATTACCATATTTATTATCATAATCATATTCCTCTTCATATGGCCAAAATGCTCCATAATGATAAGCATGAAAATTAATGTACAAAAATCGATTATCACCTTTGAATGAATGATATAATCCGTTACCACAATGATAATCTATATCTACTATAAGTATCTGCAAACAAATTTTTTTTATTTCTTTAATAATTTAATTTAATTCAATTTAATTACATCCAATTAAGTCACTTTAATTTATACTTTTCGGCTTTTCTCGTGTTTTTAAACAATTTTTGCTTATGTAATTTGCTAATACATTCAATTTCCTAAATCTTATTTTTAACTGATATTGTGTAATGGCTTAAATCTTACTGCTTAATTATTTTTAACTGTTTGCTCAAAATTTGTTGCAATGCTAGTTTAATTGAGTTGAAATTATAATAATATTTGAATTAATATTTTTTTTTTTTTTAAATTTTGAATGATTTTTTCAAACTGATCAATCGTTTTAGTTTAATAAAAATTTGTTTGTAAATCTTATCTTATTAATATTGCACTTTTCAACAGCATATTTGGCGCAAATTGCAATATTATTAAAAATGCAAAATCCTTGCGGTAGCTTTCCATATGAATGATGACCAGGTGGTCGTACAATTGCAAAACCATTACCAATTCGAAAATCGTAAAAATTAGTGTTACACTAATTTTGAATATTTGTAATAATTATATAACTAATTAATTTGATAAATTAAATTATACCTACAATTTAAAAATTTTTAAATATATATCATATATAGTTAGGTTTAAAAATAATTTAGAATAATTTTAAAAAAATTAAAAAAAAACTTCTATATATATATATATATTCAACTTGATATACATTAAAAAGAAAGAAAACTATAAACAAACAACTAATAGAGCCAAATATAAGTATAAACACATATAATCTTTGATAATGCATTGGTTAATAAACAATAAACAAACAAGTAAGCAATCAAAACAAACAATTAACGAAAAACAAATAAAACAATTAGCAAATACAAAGTAAACAAACAAACAGCTAAGATATTTATTTATTTTTTGTAGTATATATTACATATTTATGAATTAAACTTACATTTATTTTATTTATGAATTAAACTTACAAAATAAATTAAACTAACAAAATCATATATAGTTAGGTTTTAAAAAAAAAAAAAAAATTTAGAATAATTTTTAAAAAAAAAAATTAGATAAGAAAAACTAAAATTTATATAGAAGCTACCTGCCATCAATATTAGCTCGTACAAAATCAATTACACCACCAACAACAAGTCGAGCAATTCGAACACTATCAGAACATAACCAAAGTAATTCATGTCCTTGACAGTATTCCTCTAATTTCTCAATTGTTTTCATTTCTTCCAATTCTTTGATTAGTTGTTGTGGATGATTTAAACAAATTTCCCAATCTTCTGCTTCTCGAATTTTAATCTTTAATATTTAATTTTTTTCTTTTTTTTTTTTTTTTTTTTTTTTGTAGAAATGACAATAAATAAAGAATTTGTTTAATTAATTTAATGATTCAATTTATTCATTTATTGATTAAAGAGTAAACGATAATTAGCAAATAATAAAGAAAAGAAATTGCTGATTGATTTAAAAAAAAAAAAAATTTGCAAAATGTAATTATTAACTCATTAATGTTTTCTTTTTTTTTCTCTTAAAAAAGAAAAACTTTTTGTTTTATATTATATTTTCAATTATTCTAGCATTTTGCGTATTTAAATTATATAGAAAAATTAAAAATTATTAGTCAAAATTAAAATATAAATTATTTAACTCTTTTTTTTTTTCAAAATTCACACAGATTTTATTGTGAAAAAAAAAAAATCAATTTTCTAATTTTATTAATTTCAAATTTTTTTGAAATTTTATTTTTTATTATTGCAATAACAAACATTTATTGCATTTTCAAGTAAACCATCATTTTTCAATCTGTTATAAATTAAAAAAGTTCGTTCCGGTCGTTCCTGTGTTCTTCCATTTGGATCGTATGGATTTGCATGCAATTGCATGATATCATCATAAACATAACCAAACATTACTGATTATATTATCACTGTAAAATTAATTCTTCAATTATTTTTTCAGAAAAAAAATAAATGAATAATTTCTTAATTAATTAAATTTTACAATTTGAATTTAATTAAGAAATGAGAGGAAAAAAAAAGAGAGAAGAAACAAACAAAATGACATTCATACATTGATTTTAAGTACAAAAAAGTAAATTTAAACTTCATTTTTAAAACTATTATCGTTTCATCAAAACAAAACTATTGAAACCAGTTTTACTAATAACAACAACAAAAAATAAAAAATAAAAAGAATTAGAAAGGAATTCGATTAACTGTAATTTATGGCATTATACTGTTTGTAAAATTAACAAAATTTTCACTTTGAAAAAAAAAAAAAAATATATAAAAAAATAAAATTGTAATCATATTTGATTGTTATTAGTAAGAGAATATAAGTAAGAGAAAAAAGTATGAAATGAAAATTGCTGGAAAGAATAAAATTTGTAATAATAAACACTTATCGTTAAGTAAAATTATCTCAGATAAGTTAAAAATTGCATAAAAATAATCGTCTAAAATAGATTATAATACTATTTCATTGTAAAATAAATTTCCTAACAATACTTTAGTAAATTTTCTAAAAATACTTTAATAAATAATTACTTTCAAAAGATATTTTATATCAATAATTAATTTTAGTTTTTTCAAAAATTTGTTGTGAGAAAATTAACATTAATTTTAATCAGCGTGTGAAAAAAAATTAATTTGTAAACAACTATCAATTAAATTATATATTTAAAAAAAAATTTTTTTTAATCAAATAATTTTATGAAAAACATTTTTTTTTTCTTTTGTTGATATTTTTACAAAATATTTTTACAAACATATCAACAAAAAAAAAAAAAAAAAAGTTAGTGACAATATTAAAGGAAAAAGAATTTTACAAAAACTGAATAAAAATTATCTGATTGTGTTGATTTTAACCAACGAATTGGTTTAATTAAACAAAGTCAAAAAAAAAAAAAGTTGATTTAATTATTTATTCATTTTTTCTTCTCTTTCTCTCTCTCTCTCTCTCTCTCTCTTTCTTCATTTTTTTCATTTCCTTTTTATTTTTTTGAAATGATAAATTGAGGAAATGATGATAGTATTATCATCCATATCATTCAATGATTCATCTTTAACTCTTAGCTTTTATTCACAATCTATTTTAGCATAAAAATATTTTTGAAGTATTAATCAATAAATCATTAGCCATAATAGATTTATGGCTAATGATGTAATATAATATAGAAAATAACGATTACTTTCAGCTATTCATTAATTTTATCCTATTTTTGGAATAAGATTTCATTATGATATCAGAACATACATAAATCTTTCAAATATATTATTTAATACCAAAGTAAAAAATAAAAATTGAAAAAAAAAAAAAATGAAAACGCTATGAAACATTTTTAATTAAATTATTAATATTATATTTAAGCAAAATAAATAAGCAAAATTTTAACCAAATTATGCTAATTTTAGCTAAATTAATACAAATAGCATATTTGTGTATATATGGTGAAAAAATTTTTTGGAATTGAAAATATTAATTGAAATTAGCAATTTCATTTCAAAATAATTTGATTTTTGCAAATAGTTTTTGTCAGTTTTTTTTTTTTTTTTTTTAAACAATAGATATTAGATAATTTGCTTCATAAATTCCAAATTTCATTCTATTTGATAAATAAATATTGAAAGATATATATGTGCATAGATATTTTAATGTTTATTTATTTGTTAACATTTATTTATTTATTTATCTACGAAATATTTGATATAATTTGTTTACAAAGTTTATCAACTTATTTTGATTGTGCTAATTATGGCGGTGAATGATTCAGTTGTAATTTAAAATAAATAAAAGTAGATTTACCGATTTAATTTGTTTTGTTTCATTTATATTCGAGAGCCAATTGATTTAATTCGATTGAGATGGCTTTCCTATTATTTTACATTATTCAACTATGTATATCTAATCATAATTTTACAGTGATTAGTGATTGATTAGTAATTAATTGATAATTGATTAATTAATAATTTCTCTTCTATTCAGCAAATATTTATATGCTTTTTATGTTAGCTGCAAAAAATAGAAGTAAATATAAAACTTTAATTTGCGTGTTTCGGAATTTATTTTCATACCTGTCTATGTGTTATCAGTTTTAATTTTGAATTTAAATAAATTTTATAGCAATATAAGATCAAATTTGGATGATAAGATGATAAGAGATAATTGATCATGGATTGAATGAAATTTTTCTATAAATAGGATTTAAAAGAATACACAAAATTGTTGGTTTCTTTAAAATATTTGCATTTATACGATTATTTGTGTTTTATCACTTTGATTCCGATTAGCATCTGAAATTTCGCGCTAAATTTAATTGCTAATATTAATTGTTAAAATCATACATAAAAAAAATGAATTATATTGATATTATTCGAATTATATATAAATTACATTGATATTGGTTAAAATTTTTCTGGCTATGCTAAAAGTGTTTTTTTTTTTTTTTTTTCCTTTTGATTTACAACGAATGATCTAATTTAGTTTTGTTTGTATTTTCAATAATGAAGCAAATATTCCGAAATTCATTTAATTTTAATGGATAAAAATTTAATCTATTAATAAATTTAAAGTTTCGAATATCAGTAAAGTAAGTATTTGCTGATTTGAAATTATTGCTAAAATTTTAATTTCACTATAAAATAAAATGGAATTTCGAATTGTCCTTGCATTTTAAGAAATTTTTTATGATAAAAACTTCAAATTTTTTTGTTCTTTTTTTTAAATACAAATTTGAAATTCTTATTTGGAAAAAAAATTGAAAACGTTACGTGTTAACGTGAAGAAATTTAACATTTTTAGAAAATAATACGAAAGAAAATGATAGAAAACAATAAAAAGATAAGATTAGAAGATAGTATGTCAATTTATTATGCGCAAGAGAAGAGGAATATGAAAAAAGAGTATTCTGGTTGATAAGCAGAGATTGAGAGTAATAGATTAAATAACACATAATAATATGAGAGATTCTCATCAAATCAAAAATTGAATGTATGAGCCTTCAATGCAACTTTAGCATCTCAAGTTGTTGCTGTAATAAAAGCTAAGTAAAGGAAGGAGAAAGGGAAGGGGATTAGTTATGCAAATTAGCAAATGGAATAAGCCAAAGTAAGTTAAAGCTGAAAATTGAATAAAATTAAACATGTAATGCTTAATTAATTGTATAACTGGTTTCTTTTTTCTTTTTCAGTTTCTTTGCTTATCTTTATTATCATTTTTATTTCATCAATTTTCGTTGAATTATATAAAAATACAAACGATGAGAATATCGTTTAATATGATTATTACATTCTAATTAGTTGTTCATTGTAATTGCTGTTTGGAAAAAAAATTCTTGAATTGATCATCTTTTAGATAGTTGACACAAAATACAAAAAATCGCAAATATGGTATGAAAGGGAATAATTGTATAATTTCTTTATGGCTAATTTTTGCTACCATCGATTCAGATTTTCAAATTTATCATTCATTCTTGTTAAGGTCGGTTGCATTTATATCTTTCATTACCTGATGTAAATTATTATCTACAACCGTCAATATTTATTAAATATCTATATACTCATTATTCTTTCAAGATAGGTGTCATGAGTGTTAACGGCTGAGTAATTTTAGGACTTACTTTTTGAAGTTAATGATACAGATTCTTATTATATATTGTTAATAGGTTTTATTGGTGTATATGGTAAGCTATTACAATGCATATAAGTTCTTACCACTTTAATGTTTATTTGTTAACATTTGTTTATTTATGAAATGTTTGATATAATTTATTTACAAAGTCTATTAACTTATTTTCATTATGATAATTATAGCAGTGAATGATTCGTTCATAATTTTTGCATAATTTAGAGTAAATAAAAGTAGGTTTGATTTAATTTGTTTTGCAAGTTGTCATATTTCGTATTTTATCACTTAGAAGATGACAGTGACAATCCATAGAATTTTCAGCAAACTTTTGGATTAATTCTGTTTGTTTGTTAGTTCTGTTTTTTTTTTTTTTTCGTATCGTACGAATGAATACTCTAAAGTGTTCGCATCTGAAATGTCCCTAATTGAACACTTTTCATTCTATTTCTATGGGTTCTTTTATAAGTGATATAGTAAAACATATTCGAAGTGAATAATATATATATTTCTACCCTTTTCCTTTTCTAGTGAAATATTATTGATCGATAATTCGAAATTTAATGCATTATTGCAGGCAGGCAGCATGAACGATGAACAATGTTGAAGATTAAAGTCAAAACGAAGAATTATGTTAGGGACGAATTGATCGGTTAATCATGAAACTAAAGATTCGTAAACAAAAGTTCATGTAAATGGATGGTGAAGCAGTAAAGATCAATGTGAGAGAACATTCCGAAATTGATGAATTTCTGTGATATTTATCCCGATTTGTCGGATGTATTTTTTTTTTGGTTGTTTCTAAGTGCTTAATTCAAAAGTTTTATTTCATTCTGTTTCTGTAGAGGGAATTAAGTCATTGAAGAGAATTTTTTGCACAATTCGCACGCTGTATATATCATATCCTATCCTTTGACATGCAAGTTTCGGAAATTTAGCAAAAGTATCTTTCGAGAGTTTACATTTGTTGTAAATTTTTCCTGAAATTGTTTTTGTATTTTATATGATTACACCGAAAAAATTATAAATAGTTCGAATTTTATAAGATGTTTCGCAGAAATTGTTACCATTTTACTGAAGAAATTTTCTTTCGTTAATGTGATTTGCTGGTGAAATATAAAAGGGAATGAAGTAGCAAACAAATTACAGAAAGTTTGCCAAATAGCTGAAGTTTTAAGAGTAGTGCGACTTTATACCGGACAGCATACCTATATTATATACTTCAAGGCTAATGGAGATGTCAAAGGTTACAATTATTATGGATTTGATAGTGAAATAATCACGAATTAGTAATTATTTAAGATATACATAATACAGCTATTGCCAGTTAATAGTGTTGGTAAGGTTGTATTTAATGGCGGTACTTTATGCTAAAGTATGACTTTTAATATTTCATTTTTCGTGGATACGTGGACTTTTCAACACCACTGTGATATAACTCTGGTATCCCATCTTTTGGTATTCCTCCATTTGATAATTTATTATATTAGTACGTGGTAATATAAATTATTCTCTATTTCAGATGATATCTTCACTGATTACATTTTTATTTCATATCAATCCAATAAATTTCAAATTATTTGCTGTATTTTTATGGATATTTGATGCTGTTTTATGCACGTTAGTCATCCGAAAAGTACCATGTAAGTTGTTTCTTTTCATGCTGTCTAAGATTTTTTGTCAGGTAAAATGATTCGATTGCTTGCTTCTCTTATTTTTTCATTTTTTTTTAAATACAAAAGCAACATTTACAGATACCGAAATAGATTGGACTACTTACATGCAACAGGTGAGTTGCTATGAACAAGGAATTCGTAATTACACAAAAATTGAAGGTGATACCGGTCCTATCGTGTTAGTTTGTTTCTGCTTTATCTAAATTTCTTTTTCATTAAGCAATTTTGCTCTTTTTTTTAATGCAATTCATGAAGGATTAGAATGATAGCTTAAAAATTGTGAAGTAGCTTGAAAAATTTAGCAAAACTGGTATATGGTTGCTTGGACTGTAAATGAATTGGTTTGATAGGTTGTGAGGCAATAAACTAATCCACCAATAATAATGAACTAACAACTGATAATTTGAGACAAATGTTTGCATCTAAAGATTTCTTTAAGAAAAATGTATCGTTTAAATTATTAAATAAACCTGAGCAAATAATTTTCAGGTATCCAGCTGGTCATATTTGGTTTTATTTAATCCTTTCTCATATCACCAATCATGGACATGATATCCGTACGGCTCAATATATTTTCGGATTTCTGTATTTGACAAGCTTATTATTAGTTTTTCGTATATATTATATGAGCCATAGAGTAAGTTTTAAAAGAATTTCTTATTACTATTTGAGAAAAAATTTGTTTTTAAATCTTTTTTTTACCATATAACTCACTATAATCTAGATTAAACGATTTGAACTGTTTCATTGATAGCCGTTTATTGAAGTGAAGTCAGAATAGCGAAGAAAAAAAAAAATGTACTAATATATGTGATGCTTATGTCAGTATGACTTAGTTCCAGTATGCATTTAAATTACTTTTTGAAAAATGTTTTATACTTAGTCTAATCGTAGAATAACATAGCATCGACATATATTATTGCATTTTGTTACGATAAAGATTTTCAATTCTCATTTCTTTTTTCTAAAATAAATAAATGAATTCAGCATTGTTTGAGTAAAATCAATTCTTTGTTTCCAGTTGCCTCCATTTGTACTAATTATACTGTGTTGTATATCATATCGAATTCATTCCATCTATCTTCTTCGATTATTCAATGATCCAGTTGCAATGTTGCTCTTTTATTTGGCTGTTAATTTATGGATTAGTCATTATTTTCAAATTGGCTCCATATTTTATAGGTTCTTTTTTTTACTATGAATTAATTTAATTTTGAAGGTCTAAAAACCTACAAAAATTTTTATACAAATTACTATATTCAAATGATTAGTAATATTTTCAGTTTGGCTGTATCAGTGAAAATGAATACATTATTGTTTTCTCCAGCACTTTTGTTCATTCTTCTTTTGAATACTGGTTACTGGAATACGTTCAAAACAATTGTATTATGCGCTACGATTCAGGTAAACAAGTTAACGTGAGAGTGACATACATTTTTTTTTATTTTCATATGAAGGAATAAAGGAATTGTTGGCTTTCATTTGTAAACAGTGGCGTTATGTTTAAAATTAAGGAATATTCCTAATTAATTTACTGTTTTCATATCGAAAATCGTTCACTATGATTAGCTACAAATGCTACTTAAATTAAAAAAATTAAGTAGTGTTGTTAATTTCAAAATTAAGTAAATTAAGTATGCTTATATCATATGATAACTTTGTCAATTATAGCAATTTTGCTATCCTAAAAATTTCTTATTGGATTTTTTTTCCTCATTTATTTTTATTTTCTTATATTATGCTAATTTTATAGATTGTCTTAGCACTTCCGTTCCTATTGCATGATCCATTCTCGTACTTGCAAAGATCTTTCGATTTGGGCAGAGTTTTTCTCTTCAAATGGACAGTGAATTGGCGTTTTTTATCAGAGGAAATATTTTTGGATCATCGGTTTCACATATTCTTACTAGCCACTCATATTATTTTGCTTTTCTTTGCTGGATACTTATGGTTTAGGTACTTTTTTTTTTTCATTCAGCTTTGGTTTCTATCAAGTTAAGCGTTAATTTTATCGGGATATTGATAATGTTTCTTGAACATTCGATTACTTATCTAGATATGATTATAAAATGATTTGAAATGTTTAGAAATATCAAACAGTGAGTTTTCTCAGGACAGTTGTGACTAAAAAAACTTGATATATGAGCAGATGAAATAACTGCTTTTATCTGGCTGTGATTATAAACTGATTTGAAATGTTTACAAAAATATCACTTTAAGTTATAAGATTTTGAAATTAAATAATTTCAGGCGATATGGTGGATATATGCATATGTTATCAATGGTGAAGTATGGTAAATTGTTATTGAGTACTAATGGTATTCTCTTTACTTCATTCTACTTTATCTCTAGAAAATATAAATTTATTGAAAAAAAAATTCCTTCATCAAGTTTGGTATTTGTTACATATTGAATGATTGCAACTTTTAAAGTTAAATCAATTTCTATTTTTCTTTTATTGCATATCGCATAACCACAACTTTATGAGTAATTTTTTTTTTTTTTGAAATAATTTTAATTTTCAGAAATGCTTATAGCTTTGTTCACAGCAAATTTAATTGGTATATGCGTTGCTCGGTCATTGCATTATCAATTTTACAGTTGGTACTTTTATACATTACCCTATTTGTTGTTTGCTGGTTTACCGTTCCATAGTGATTGGTTTTTCAAGGACAGAATAACATCCATGCAAAAGTAATTTTTTTTATTTTTTATTCCGTCTGTTATTCTTTGAATATATGATATAATATTACAGACTTTATTGTTTGCAGAAATACTCGAAGCACTTTTTTCTTGGAATGAACAAAATATATCAAAGTGTAAAATTTTTTAATTATTTGTAAATATCTCATATTTACAGATCAGTTGATGCTGTATCACCATTGTCAATAATTTTAAGGTATTTTCTTTAACCAAACTTTATATTTTATCAAATAATTTTTGGTATCACTAGTTTTCCTCAAAATAATGAACGAAACTGGTATTGCACACTTATATTTGGTGTATCCCATTTACTGACAAGATTGTTTACTTGTTTTGAAGCATAAACAACAACGAAAATATAAAAAAAAAAAAAAAAAACTTACGGATTTTTAGATGCTGTATTCTTGTTGGAATTGAGTTATGCTGGAATACCTATCCTTCGACAGTTATCAGTTCAGCAATGCTTCATTGCTTTCACATTGCTATATTTTGCATATTGATACATGATTATTATAATGATAGTAATCTGAAAATACATAAAATTACATAAATCTTTGTTTTTGCTTCATCTAATTTGAAGTCTTCTTTCCTGGCAGGAAATTGTTTATGTTATATTAATATCTATTCAGGTTCGTCCCAGTAATTTTAAAGCTGCTCAATTAGCTTTTTTTTTTTTTTTGAGAAAATTTTGGAAAAAAAAATCGAAATAATGACAGAAAGTTGGTGGGGAGTTTTGGATTTTTATGGAAATTGTGTTCCTTTCAGAATGGATGTCAGAAATTTGCATCAATTTATGTTGTTCAACTTGTAGAGCTTATATGAATTAATGAAGATCCAATAACAACTACAAATTCCTATTTTTTTATTTTTATTCGTTTAGGATGATAAATTGTGAAAAATAAAATGCAAAGTTGAAGTAATTAAATGAATTGCTTAATTTAATTAGTAATAATATTTCTGCAATGTCATAGAGATAAGTTACTATGTTTCTATATAGCTTTGATTCATAGAATTGTTATTTCTTTTCTATTTTTCGTATAATTTTTACCATATAAATTTGCAGGCATCAAATGGAGTAAACCTTTGGTTCTTTTTTTTTATTATTCATTCGTATTTCTGAATTAACAAAGTTGAATGATCAGCTGAATGATCAACCATGCATTCATGTAACCATTTATGTTTATCTGTGACAAAAGAGAAAAATCTTTTTTTTTTTTTTTTTTTTTTTTTAGTTTCTTTTGTGCAAGGACATTCTATATAAATTATATGACAAACATGTATGACAATTTAAGTGAATTTGTTCAAAAAATATCGACTATAGTTTGAATATGATCATTTCAATGGCTTCTACTGTCTCGAATATTACACCTTATAACTTATTTACCTTGAAGATAGATGAAAGTCAACCGTTTATAAGTGTTTTTTTTTTTCCCCTCAGTGATTTCAGTTTGAAAAATTAATTTTGATTATTATATCAAACTCATATGGGCATATTCTTCTTGTCATTTTGCCTTTAAAAATTTACATTGAATGATTCAGAAAATTGGTTAATTTCAGGATGACATCTTTGCCTTCTTGTTCTCGCACAATTCTGTCTTTGTTTCATAATTTATCGATAAATTCAAGAAAATTCGATCAGATATTCTTTAAAAAAAATTTAATTGGAAAACATTTCTTATGTACTGTTTCGGAAGGTACAATAATTTTTGATCGTGAAACGAAGAGAATTCAACGCAATAGAGCTGCTCAATTGGATGATTATGATGTTTGCCAGTATGTTAAAGTAAGTTGTTATTTAATATTTATTCTTATATTTCAGAAAAGGAAAGAAAATCCTATGTAAATGTTTATTTCCTTTCTTTTTTTGTTTTTTTTGTTTTTCCATTTGCTTTTTGGCTTTATTTGAAATTCATTTATCATTTTTTAAACTTATTCATTTGACATCTCTTTTAAAATTTTTGTTAATTAAAATTGATATCTGATATTGAACTATTTAATCATATATGGAAATATGCGAATTCAAGTGATGAAATATAATAATAAGCATTATTACATGATGCTAGTATTTTTTTAATGTTAGTATGCATTTTTCATGATTTTGAGTAATTGCTATGAATTTATATTGTTATATTTGTTGTTGTTTTAAAATGGAATGAAATAATATTTGTAGGAGACTATAATACGTTGTTTTGTTTTTATGTTAGTGTGAACGATAAAAAGAAAGATGTAACAATTCAAATGTTTATTGATTCAAGAAAAAAGTTTCGATATTGGCAATTTTTTTTTTTTTTTTTAAAAAAAAAAGAAATAATTAACCTTTTGTAACTAGTAGTAACATATTTGTTCTGGTTGATTTTATCAGTGATAGGGAAATTTTTTGTTCTTGGTTTTCCAATCCTTAATTGGATAATGGTATGTTAAATCCAGAACATTTTCCTAATTCATGTATGAAATTTTTGAAGTCATTAGAAGCATTTGTAATAAATTAATTTTAGGATGAAATAGCTTATCGTGTAGCTGATAAGGTATTCGATTTAACCAAATTCAACGATATTTGCATTGATATCGGATGTGGTAGTGGCCATATTGCGACGAATTTGATTAAGGTTCTTTCTTTTCTTCTTAAATTCAGTAAATTGTATATTGTTTATTTTTGCTAATCGATAATAGTGTGTGATTCAATCCAGTGCTTCATAATTTTCACTTTAAATAATAAATATTTAAGTTATTCAATAGCTCAGTTGATTTTATATTATGATCTAAAAATAATGACAGATAATCTATAAATAGTGAAAAATTAAATAATGAGTAAATTTATTCGGATCATTTGAGTAAAGGTATCACAAGCTTTTTGAAAACGATCTATAAATATCTTTCTTTAGCATACAGTTATGTTTCCAAGAGAAAGTCTACCATATAGTTTATTTTATGATTATAATATATTCTTTCAATATAGGTAATTCATTATGAAAATAATTCGCAAAAAATTTGATAAGATAGAATTGTTTACATGGAAGAGTGTTGATATTGCATGAAAGTATAACAACATATGGATAATAAATAGTTAAAATGTTTATGATTTCATAGGAAAATGTGGGTGTTATTATTCAATGTGATATGAGCGCAGGACTGATAAGACGAAGTAGAGGTGCAGCTGATCCTGAAGTACCTGTTTTGAGTGTCATTGCAGATGAATCAATGGCACCTTTCCGGGAAAAGTCAGCTGATTTGGTGGTATCCAGCCTTAGTGCCCATTGGATTAACGACCTAGAGAAATGGTTTCTATTTGTTTATTCTTTTGAAATGACGAAAGAAAAGCATTATTATTGCATATCGGTGCTAATAATCAGTATCATTCCATAATGTCTCTTATTCATTTATTGATTTTTTTTTTTTTTTTTTTGTTTTTATTCCACATAGTTTACTCGTGATTAGTTTTTTCGAATTGAAGTATTTTTCTTTTTTTAAAAAATAATAGTTAAAGATGGTTAGATTATGATTAATATGATGTCTTAATGCTCTTTTGTATTTGTTTTGTTTTGTTTTGTCGTATTTTTACGCCAGATTTTATTTTTGCGTTGTGTTTTAGAAGTTTGATTTTAATATTAATGCAGTTAAACTTGATCTGAGTTATTTTTCTAGAAAAAAATTCAGGTTTTCGCGTTGTTTATCGATCCTTCGTCCTGATTGTCCACTTATTGGTGCTATGCTAGCTAATGAAACATTGTATGAACTTCGAATAGCCTTACAGTTAGCTGAAATGGAGAGATTGGGCGGCATTGGTTTGCATATTTCACCGTTTGTTAGAGCAGATGATGTGGGATCGTTAATGAGTCAGGCTGGTTTTGGAATGATTACATTGGATACGGATGAGCTGACGGTAATAGTAATATTTATCTTTTATTTTGAAATTAATAACTAATCATTGATTTTGATGGCATTAAAAATAATATAATTTTAAGCTGAGAAATTGTTAATATTGCTATGATTTACCAAATTCTTTGATTTCCACATTAATTTCTGTCTTTTTTTTTTTTTTTTTCCTCTATTTTCTATCGAAATTTTTTCATTTTTTTTTTTCATTTTTTTTTTTTTTCAGGTTGGTTATCCGAATATTTTTGCTTTACTCTATGATTTACAAGGTATGGGTGAATCGAATGCACTGCGAAATCGATCAGCACATATTAGAAAAGATATTCTTATAGCTGCTGATACTATTTATAGGTAAAGGTTGTTGCATAAACGTAGTTTGATTAGGTATAAACGTGAAAAAAAAGCTTCTAGAATGTTTATTTTTGTATGTTAGAAGAGATATTCTTATAGCTTATAGCTGATTATGTTATTTATAGGTGAGGTTGTTGTATAAATGTAGTTTGATTACGTATAAACGTGAAAAAAAGCTTCTAGAATGTTTATTTTTGTATAAATCACCATGTATAAATGTTTATCCGTATTTTAGGTCAATGTTTTCTCGTGATGATGCGCCATGTCCAGCAACTTTTCAGATTGTTTCATTTATTGGTTGGCGTCCCGGTCCTTTAATGCCAAAACCAGCTAAACGTGGCTCACAGAAGGCATCATTCAAAGATATTAGCAAATTTGTTGAAGGAAAAGTGTCATTTCCAGATGATCATAATCCGAAAATAGGGAAAGAGTAAAAGATTTGTAGATATCATTTTGAAAAAAAAAAAAAAAAGAAAAGTTCACCAATGTTATGAATTTTCTTCGCATAGTTTAATATTGGAAAATTTTTGATATATTCCGATTTAAATCATTTCATAATTATTATTTCTATTTTTTCGTGATATACTTTCAAATTTGCTTTAATTAGTAGCTGTAGAGAGAAAAAAAAACTGCTTTTTCTCTTCATTTATTTATTTATTTTTTTTTTTTATGAACTGTTAGCTTTGATATATCTTCTTTTCTTTACTTATATCAACCTGAATTTTCATATTTAATTCGTTCAAAAATGACAAAAACTGTTGTGATAGTTTCAAGGTAATATTTTTATATTTTTCAATGTTCTAGCAGCAATCATCGATCATTTTTGCCTTCACCATTGTTTCGTAAAATAAATGCGTCCCATGCATTATTAGAATGTTAGTTTTCCTTAAATGTAAGTGGAAGTAAATAAATTTTCTAATCTTTGATTATAAATTTTTTTTTTTTCGTAAAAAAATTAAAGTCACATGATGAAATGCCAATGCGTATGTATGTATTTCTCTAATTGTTCTTGAAATTCTAATGTTAATTTAAATAATCGGTTATTAGAAAGAATTTTTCTAGGTGATACTTAAAAAGTAGTAATTGGTAAAAGCTGAAATGAGAAAAACTTTTGCAATGAAAGTAAGTAATTAAATAATAATTTAATTTTATTTCAAGGAAAAATAGGATTGAAATTTCAATGAATTTAACAATGTCCACCATTAAAAATATGGAAGCAATTACTCTAAACTTGGACAAATTAGCAACTAATGATAATAAAAGAAAAAAAAAATATAAAAATTCCAAATCAATAGAATTGACAGCAAATTTCAATATTTACAAAAAGTTTTCATTTTCCTTTAATCAAAAAAAAAAGTCCAAATATGTACATTCAAACTTGGTAAAAAAGTTTGTCTTGTAAACTTCAGAAGATCAATTTTTTTCTTTTTTTCCTCAATAGTTTAACGATTATTATAGAATGATAACAACATTCGCTAACTGAATTGATCAATGATTAATACAAAAACGAAAAATATTTTATTTCAATGATATTTTCATCATAAACTGCAACCAAACATTAATTATTAAATTATTTACCAATTAGGATGAGTTGAAAACAGGAATTGTTAACATTAATTGATAATAAATAACAAACATAAAATCTTAATTAGTTTATTTCATAATTAAAAATTCTCCTTCATCATCTCTAAATATTCTCTACCAATGATCAAAAAGTATTATTTTTATGTCTCCCCCTTTTTTTTTTTTTTTTTCACTTTATTAAAATGTATTTTGCATTTTGATTAAAAATTCATTTACAATCTTTTTTGAAGTTGAAATGATGCATTAACCAATTTCATCTTTCTTTTTTTTTTGGGTTTTCTTCCTTCTGATGAAATTCACATGTTGAATCAAATATTCCTTTTCTTTTTTATTTTTATTTTTTTCTTTTTCATTTTTTGTTAGCTCATATGAATTTAATAAATAATTTTAAAATTGCCTTACTTTTTGATAAATTTATTGAAATATTTTCTTTTTATCTTTCTTCCTCTCTTTTTTAAATTACCAATTTTATCATTAAAATTATGATAAATTATATTTACTGTTTGTTTGTTTAGATTTTATTGAACTTTTCCTCTCTTTCCTTTTCTTTTTTTTTTTTTTTTTTTTTTTTTGTACTACCTAAATATAAAACTGTCAAATATAGGTAAAATTTTCTTCTTTTTTTTTTTTTTTTTTTTTTTTGGAAGAATTTTTTAATTAATCAATCAAATTTTATTCGACAATTTTTTCCTCTTTTCTCTTTCTTTTATTTTTACAAAAAAAAAAAGTTATAAAATGACCAAGATGAGTTGTAACAAAAAATACTTTTTTCTTCCTTTTTTTAAATACAGAAAAGAAAAAAAAAATTTGAAAAGATTTAATTACAGCAAAATATTTGACTAATATAATGATTTTAGATGACAATAATGGTGACATTTAAAATGATAGTGATAATAATGATGATAATAATAGTGGTAATGATGATGATAATAATAGTGATAATAATGATGATAATACTAATGTAAACTTTATACATCAATTACAAATATTTGTGATACCTTTTTTTCAATGCATTTTTCTTCTTTTTTTTTTTTTAATTCAACAATGATATTTATTAATCTTTCATCAATTTCTTTTTCCATTCTTTTTCAATTTTTTTTTTTTTTTTAAGAGCTTTAGGATGAATTGAAAAATGAAATGAACACAAATCAATGATTGATCTATCATTTTTCATCTTTTCCTTTTTCCTTTTCTTTTTTTTTTTTTTTTCATAATGCTCGTTATTATCATCTAACATTTTCACTTTTTAGATTATTTTTATATCAAATTTTAAATCGGTAAAAAAGAAATATCAAAATTGTTGTATTTATTTTGTTGTAATAATTCAGGTATACATTTTTTCTTTCCTTTTTTTTTTTTTTTTTTTATTTTGTACTTTATTTCATATTATCATCATTTCTTTTCTTTTTTTTTTTTTTTCCTTTAAAAAAAAGGTAAATTTTTATTTTAAATAACATATTTTCAAGTGATTTTTAAATGATTGGAAAAAAAAAAAAGTTAAAGCTGATAATATCATTAATGATTATTGATATAAATATCATTTATTGAATATATTTATGAAATAATTTTTTTATGAGACAAAAGAAAAAAAAAATACAGTTTAAAAAAAGAAGAAATATTTGTATCTAAAGTATGTAAAAGTAACTACAAAATAAAAGTATTTTGATTAATATTTTATTTATTAATTCCTTTTGATAAATTTTATTTAGTAATTTTATTATTAATTTTTTTTTCTCAATTACTTATGTTGTTTTTTTTTTTAAGTAAATATAATAAAATTAGTTTCATTATCAAAACTGCACGTATTTTAATATGATATTTTTATATTTGAAGTTATGATTTAAAAATTAAATTAATATTTAAATTTTTTAAAAATATTATTAACTTTTTTAAATTATTTTAAAATTAATATAACTTCAAATTTATTATTTTTTTTTTCTTTTCCCATTCTTTTATTTTTTCCTTTTCTCTTACATTTATCTAATTAATTACATTTTCATTTAATTAATATCATTATTGCTGTATCATCATTCATTTGTAAGAGAGAGAGGGAGAGGGAGAGAGGGAGAGAGAAAGAGAAGAAACAAAAATGATATTAAAAAAGGAAATAAAATGATATCAAAAAAAAAAAAAAAAGAATAGAAGAAAGATTTAAAAATTTTTATTATTATTAAATCACAAATTAGAATAATCTTAACAAAATATTCAAAATATGTTTTTTAAATCTTAATTTTCATTGAGAATTTTATTAAAATATCACATCAATTAGCAAAAATAAAAAAAATCCATGATTAAATAATAAAATAAAATGAAATAATGAAGAAATGCAAAATTTAATAATAATTAATCGAATGATAAATGAAATCAAATAGCAATTTCAAATGAAAATTTAAAAATACTTTCACTTTCCTTTTGTAAAATTTGATTTTGAATAATTTTTCAATTATATTAGCTAATTATTTTCAACAAAAGAACCGTATTATTACTTAGCACTAATTTATTATCGTGCAAAATTTTCTCGACTATCAGCTAATTAAATTATGATTAATCCATTTAACTTTATCTTTAATTTTCTAATTATATTAGTTAATTATTTTCAACAAAAGATCCGTTACTTCTTAGTACTAATTAATTATTGAGTAAAATTTTCTCGACTATCAGCTAATTAAATTATGATTAATCCATTTAACTTTATCTTTAATTTTCTAATTATATTAGTTAATTGTTTTCAAGAAAAGATCCGTTACTTCTTAGTACTAATTAATTATTGAGTAAAATTTTCTCGACTAATCGAATTATGATTATTCCATTTGACTTTATTGCTTTTCTAAAATTGAATTTCGCTATGTAATTGTAAATGTTGAAAATGAAATTTTATTAAATAATACTAAAAATGAAAAAAAAAAAAAAAAAATTGTATCATTTATTTTTCAATTTATTCCTATCAATAAGAGGTAAATATTATTAATTTCTGGTTTGTATATACATACTTTATACAAAATTATTAAGTTAGTAATTTGATAAATTTATTTGATATATTACTATTAACATTTAACTTCGATCAATCATTTAACACTTTTTTTTCTCTCATTTTTAACTTAACTAATTAATTTCTCATTTTTAGCTTAACTAAATAAATAATCAACTAATTACGGCTAATAATTAAATAATTATCTATCGGATACATAAGTGTTCCATATTTTACTATTCGGATTTATAGCGTTTTTCTTTTTTTTTGCTAATATTTATTTATTTATTATTTTTTTTTTGAAAATATTTGGATACCTAAATTTTTAGTAATAATTTTGCTACCTGTTAAAAATATGTAAATTTACTAAAAATATGTATATTTAATATTTAAATTAAAAATATGTAAAAAATTAAAAGTGTAAATTAATATATCATCAACATTTCCCCAAATATTTTAGCTCTATTCTAAATCAAATATATTTTTACCTATTACTAATAATTGATTAAAAGTTTTACCCACTGCTAATAATTGATTGAAACTTTTACCCAATGCTAATAATTGATTGAAACTTTTACCCAATGCTAATAATTGAAACTTTTACCCACTGCTAATAATTGATTGAAAGTTTTACCCACTGCTAATAATTGATTGAAAGTTTTACCCACTGCTAATAATTGATTGAAAGTTTTACCCACTGCTAATAATTGATTGAAACTTTTACCCAATGCTAATAATTGATTGAAACTTTTACCCAATGCTAATAATTGATTGAAACTTTTACCCAATGCTAATAATTGAAACTTTTACCCACTGCTAATAATTGATTGAGATAACAAAATAATCAGATAGATGTTATCATTTCTATCAAATATTTTCGTT